AACTCCCCGTCCTGGCCGGTCGCCTCCCAGCCCGGCCGTTGTAGGCGCCTACCAACGGCTGCCTCTGCGCAGGGTTCGCCTCTCCCTTCGACTGGATTCCCGCAATGCAGGCGTAAAAAAAAAAAAAAACACGTTCCCTTGCAAAGCCATGGTCAATTGGAAGCGGACCCTGCAGGGCATGTTGATTTTTGTAATCCAGCTTGTCCGTCAATCTGAAAGAGAAAACAGCTATTGTGCAGTTGTTGAAAGATTGTGGCTTCAAACGGACCACGGTTCTCCCAGCTGTAGATGGTGAAGCCCTGTCAGTGTCAGGGGGTCGAATCCGCAAACAAAAAAAGCAGTGGCGACTGACCTTTGATCAAAAAGTACAGGATGCACATGTGCGCGTTGTTGCCCATCTTGGCATGACCTCATTGGCATCGGCTGGTGGAGCAAATCCTTGGCGACAATATGGTTGCCTGAAATCGCACGAGTCTGTGCTAAAAATGGCGCCGGCGCAGCTCCTTCATCATCCCTTGGGTGATGTTTTGCACCCTGCGCAGGGACAGGGCATACGAAACCACCACATGAAACCGCATGCGCTCATCTCTTGACAACTGCCTGCCATGAGCGCGAATGTCCTACCGGGAGCGGCCATCATGCCACCCTGCCGACGTAGTTCAGAGCCTTCCGCATTGCAGGCTTGTTGCTGCCAGGCCTCCAGTGCGGTGAGTTGTGGTATAACTTAATGCCTTGCACCATTTGCGCCGCCGCTCTTGTTCCCAACGATCGCATGCGCGTGTCATTCCCGTCGCGTTGAAGCTGTTTGCAACGTGCCGCAACATGGCAAGGCACGAACCCACCATGGCAGCTGCATTCGCGAACCCTGATACATCACATGGTTACAGGGAAAAATTGGTACTTCAATCTCTGGACCTGCAGGTTTTGTTTCGCACCAATCCTGGAATGAACACAGCCCGTCCAACCCGTCAAATAGTTCAAAACGACATTCACTTTGTCGGACCAATTAGTTTATCAAGCAGCTGATGCGTGTGAGATGTGACCAATTGTTTCATGAGTACTGGAATAGGGCTTGTACATACAGTGGTGTGCACGTTTCACGATTCCTACCATGACTCATGGTCGTTCAAGGACATTCCTCTCTGGTGATTTTGATGGCGCATGTCAGCTAATTAGTGGCTGGCAGCATTCCGAGTGGCTCGCGTGCCTAGCAGCCGTGCTACATACACACTCTTGCGGAGTGTATGTGAAGACAAGGGCACATGCATGTCAAGAATCCTGGTGGCCAATGTGTGGCCCACACGAAAGCGCCATCAAAGACATGCGAACCAATGCAACAATGCCGATACTTGGCTCAACATCTCCCACGTTAAGTTTGATGCGTTCTGACAGGCAAGCGGATGGGCCCTGGAAGCAGAACCATCCAGGCTCGTGGAAATGTGGTTGTAGGTTTGGCAGCGTTTTGTTTCGGCAGGTGTCGAATTGACACCTGGGTCGTGCTGGCTTGTTGTTCCGTCTCTAACCACCAGAATAAGTGACATCACGTGCTTTCCCATCTCATTTGGTCAGGCTCGCGCATGTGTGCCAATTCGCAAAGTTGGCCGTAGGTCCGTCACGCCCTCAATTTTTTCTTGTGATTTTTCTGAGCGCAACAGCTTGCAAGGAAGACTCCAGAAAAGGGCGAGCCGCAATCCTAGCATGTGAGGGCAACATGCACAACGTAGTCAAGCATGGGAGCAACACATCATCGAACACCTGTTGTGAGGGCTCAGTTTGGCGGTCTGGATCCCGCGCAGCAAACTCAGGATCATGCAAGTTGCGCCATGTGAAGCGTGAGTTTGGCACTGCAATCTGCGAGGCGTCAATTGGATCTGTGTCCCACCCAGCATGTTTGCTTATCAGTAATCTGGCAGCGGCCAGAGACATGTGCGTGCTCATTCTTATGATTTCGTATGATCCAGGTTTCGGGTCCTGGAAGCCGGCCAACATCTAGATTTGGTGCCCCAACCGTGGCAGAAGAGACAGAGGTAGGCCACGGCTATACACGTGTGACACTGCTTACAAATAGGTGCAGGGAGCCATTTCGAACAGGTTCTTAAAGCCGCACCAACCACAAGAAGCCAGCAAATCCCATTGGTGGATGAGCGCGAGGCAGGGCCCACCTCCACAGTCAGGTGGTGTAATTGGTTTGCCGGAGCATTTGACCAAGAAATTTGAGGAAGACGAAGAGGAGGCCATGCTCCGAGAGCTGAAGGAACGTGAGGCTCGGACAGATCGTCAAGCGTCGTATAGGCCATGTGTTCCATGCATAGGGTTGGTGGTTTTCGTAGTAGATGACTTTGGAACGACAGGGACGAACAAACGTTCTGACCCCAACCCTTACTCCAGAACACCCGGGGACAAGCTTCACGACATGCAGATCAGGCACAGCCGGGAAATTTCGCAGCTTTTGTTAAGCGTTTGTGAGCAGCTTCTGGGCTGGGATGGGTTGGAAGCACTGTATGCGGGTTTTGCGGCTGGCAGGGATACTTTTTCCCTTCCCTGGGCTGGGCGCTGTAAGATGAGTTTGCCAACAGAATGCTTCAAAAACATTGCGGGGTCCAGTTTCAGCGCTGCATCGGTACTAAGGGTGGGGCAGTCGTGGTTGGGCGGAGGAAATCTTGCACCACATAGGATCCCCCATGCACTGTAACTCCTGATTGAAGTGTAGATTTCCTCCTGCCTGTACTACTAGTACTACAACGACAACAGCGACGACGACACAGTGGTGGGCTTGTCATACCCGAAAATTCATTCACTCACCCGCTACAAGGCTAAGCTGCTATAAGTTCATATAAGTTTGATGCTTCTTCTTGCTCTGCTCCATGTAGGGTCCGACGAAACGGTCTTTTCAGTACAAATATTGAAACGCGGGAGACGCGAAACGGAGTCCTTCTCTCTCCATGCCTTGCTCTTTTTTGCAACCTTCGCGCGGGAAGCTTCTGCATGTCAAGCTTTCAGGTCTGAAGGATAAAGCAAATGTCTGGCAGCTGTGGGATGGTTCCCCACTTCGTCCCATTCTCGCTGGGGGTTTGCTGCTGGCCTGACTCGTACCTACTGTAGTATTACCACTACTAGGCCCCCCCGTACCGTGAAACAACTTGAAAACTGATTTTGGCCAAACGCCCTACAATTTCGTCAAGCGTACACTCAAATTTGAAGCGTGCATGCAAAAAAAGATCGTGTTGACAGCATTTTTGATGATTTGATGTGGGTGGCGCATTTCAACACGAACGCCAATCATCATTGGCTTACACATGTTTAGAGTGCGCCCAGATGCAAAAAGTAGAGTGAGTAGCAGTCAAAGCAGTGCAGCGAGTTGCAGTCGCTGCACTATTTGTCTCAGGCATTGTTACGACAAACACACACACGCAACCACAAGTGTTGCAACTGCAGATGCACCTGGAATAATCTGTTATACTGGGATTGCAAAGGCATTTAGAGCTGCTGCTGTTGCCATGATGTGCAGATGGCTGGAATTACTCTCTTGCTGAGTAGGCCGCGCGAACGATTTCTGTCACCGCTACAAGATTCAAACAGTATTCCTACGGTTCTCTCTCAACCCGATTTAAGAGCATGATGACGGGCCTGGAGCCTTGGAAAGTGTATGACAAGCAGCACATAAACAGTTGGTCAGCATGGCCAAAGCACCTGGGGACATTGACAGAGCTCCACCTGCTTGCCCTCTGCTTGTCTCTGAAAACATGACATGCCGCTTCTATTGGGATCATGTCATGCGTGAGAATGTGAGGCCAGGAAAATGCGGGATGAGCAAGTCCGCACGGAGAGGAAGGCGTGGCAGTCGCTGGACTTGATCTGCTCAGTTTGCCAGAAATCTTCGTACGTGGCACCTTAGGCGGCCGAGATTGAAGAAGCTGCCAGGTTGGCCCAAATCAAGGCTTCGTTTGCAATGGAAGAACGTCTGAATGTTATTCGGAGGTACTCGTAGCCTGTTCGTTGTTACCTCCCTTAAGATATTGTTGTGCGCCAGGATGACAAGAAACAGTTCACCTATGACTCCGAGGGCAATGTCATTTGGGTGCAGCCACCGCAAGTCCACAGATTACCAAGCAACCCAGCGCCTACATTCCTGTGCAAGCAGGACAAATTTTGCTTCAATAGCGTACGTTAGGCATCTCATTTGTCTGAAGAGCCGTGTCGCAGGAGGAGGTGTCGCAACAAGATCTTCAAGTGCAACCGGAGAAGAAAACCGGCCGAACGCGCCAAAGACTCAGCATTTCCCTTGGCAATTCTTGTGTTTGCCCTTTGTTAGCTTGCTGTCATGGGCCGTTTTTAAGGTGATAAGCCTATCAAGGCAAAAAGGTGCATCAGAATAGCTTCGCATGGCACGCTGGATGTGGTTTCATGTGATGCCCGTGACAGGGAAAGCTCTGTGGAATTCAAAGACGGCTTCAAAAAGTTCCTTTCGCAGCAGCCTTCCATGATCGAGGAACTGTTCAGAAGCAAGCCAGCATAAACTCTTTCCACATAGATTCCATGGAAGCCGCGAGCCGTGCATGGCTAGTGCTCTGCAGTACATGGGTAGCATTGCAGGCTATGGTCATGTCTCCTGGAGTCCAGCTGGAAGAGCGGAACAGAACAAAGAAGGGAGAGAAGGCACGGGGTGGGAGGTATGTGCTGAAAGTCTTGGCAAGTACACCATGGCACAATTTCTGAGCAGCTGCGAAGGTCAAGAGCAACAAGCCTGCGACCATGTCTAGGAAGGAGTATGAGGCTGCTGTGAGACATGCAGGGATATGCTAGCCCAAGATGTTTCATAACCGCCAATTGACGCTAGGAAATCTCCAAAGGGGGGGCGCCACTGCGCAAGCAAGAAGGCCTGGAGCAGCCAAGATACAGTACCTGACAGAATGACTACATGTATGCTGCATGCTTGAGCTACACAGGTGGCGACGCCAACGCCTCCAAGCCTACGCCAAAAGCTCAAGCTCTGTGGGAGCCACAGACACCAACAATGATCCAGTTCGATTGAGACACGTGCTTTTGTGGCACGGTATGTTTGCAGAGGAAGGGCAGCAGTGGTGGGGTAGTTGCCCTGCCTACAGTAGACGAGGCAGGGCCTGGACATGTCACACGGGTAGAGGGGTTGTGACTTCTCCTGGGGGTCGCTTGTGACTTCTCAATTTGGGTCGCTTGTGACTTCTCGTTCTTTGTCGTCGCGAAATGCAGAACTACCGTCCTTTTCTGACTTGTGATTCCTCGACACCTTACAGTAGCAGGGTTGTGCTCCTTGTAAAATGCATAACTGTCGTCGTTTTTTTGGATTTGTTCCTCGACCCTTGAATATTGGGTGCATGTTCGCCTCGTAAAATGCATACCAGTCGTTGTTTTCGGAACTTTGATTCTTCAACCTTTGATAATTGCGGTCGTGCTCGCCTTGTAACATGCAGAAGTGTCCTCGGCTTAGGAGTTTTGATTCTTCGACCCTCCCGCTGTAACCGTGAACCCTAACGCTGGACTCCATACATTTGACCTTAATCGTAACCCTAACCCCCCCTGAGAAGATCCCAGCCCGGCGCCTTGTAGGAGAGCTGGTTGTCCTAGGGTTGTTGTCAACGACTTTGAGATCCCGGAGGTTGTGGATCAGGAAAAACTGGAAGCATTGGCCAAGAGAGTTACTGCCCCCAGAAGATCACCCAAACATGAGGTACCTGCACACATCAAACATTTGCGGAACCAAGCAGGGACTCACAGGACACCTCAGGCATGGAAACCGTACATGACGGAGATGAGGAAGTTTCGTGCTGATTGTCATAATAGCACTCTTCAAGCTGCTGCCCAAGATTGGAACGCTCTTCGGAAGGTCAGAAGGCAAGGGAAAACTGGATGGCATCATGATTTTTGTGCTCAACTTGGAAGAGAACCCTTTGGAACATGTCCAGAAACATTTTTCGACCAAGTTCTCAAAAGACGTGGAAGGTCTTGACCAGACTCAAGGAGCTACGTCTAGGGCTCTTGCAGCGACACCGCGGCTTGCAGATCAAGGAGTTTTCTCAGGAGGAAGTAAAGCAGGGCAAAGGGTCTAAGGCTGTGGGATGAGATAACATGCCACAAGAACTCCTGAAAATCCTGGCAACTTCTTATTCTGGGGCGAGTCATTACCAGAGCAGTGGAAGACATGCATCCTAACCTTGCTGGCCAAAGTGGGTAGTCCATTTAATGCAGGGCAGCTCAGGCCGATTGCTCTCAGCTCACACATTTAGCAAGCATATTCCCGCATCATCATGCACCGCTTATCCGCTCAGCTCTTCCCACAGGGACCTGAGCAGACGGCCTGTCGAGGACGTCAGTCCGCTGACATATAATGAACCCTCCAGAACATCGCGCAAATGTCCCTTGAGTAGGGCGGTTATGGCTCATCGTCTTGTGGAGGCGTTCGGAGATTAAGTTTCCGGCCGAGATCGCAACAGTGCTCATGAAGTTTGAGTCCGAGGCTCACATCATCCCTACCGGGTGGGGGTAGTGTCAGTATAGCGTGGGGACTGGAGTAAAACAAAGTGCGGTAGAGAGCCCTTGGTTATTCGCATGGATAGTTCATCTTTGCCTTCAGGCGATCAAGCAAACCAACCTGGATAGGATTAACTGGCTTGAAGGGTGCCGTCTAGGGCAGCTACAATTTCTACAAGGAGAGTTGGCAAAGTGAGGACCACATATCAACTTGACAAAATCATCCATGGTTTGTTGTGGGGATGTGGGGCGCAGAAGGGTTGAGCTTGACGGTCAAGCTCTCATTGCACCTGAGGGGGACATCGCACCGTTGCGGGATGGGGATGCCTATAGGGTCACGAACACCATCAGCAGACCCACTGGAAGCACTTATGGAGAGGGCGTGGAAAGCCTTTCATTCGCATTCGGCAATCCTATGTTCGGGAGCGGCTTTAGGGAAACGAATCAATTTCCTGGACAGGGTGATCTCTGCTAGCCTGGCTTGGGCTGTAGGCGCGATTCACCCCACGACTCCCATCACCAAGTTCCTCAATCAGTTGCAAATGGAAATGGTCGTGTCCATGATGAAATGGAAGCGAGGAGAGAATGAGCTCTTTGTCAACTTCAGGCAAAGGAGTTACAGAGGGCTCGGCAAATTATCCACAACGTTGGCAAGGAAAGGTGGGCGACAACGCAACTTCAACTTCATTGGTGATATGTTGGTCACAGGGCAAGGAATGGGCAGAGCAAAACACCAGGGTGCGCAGAGATAATGTCGACTTTTCGATCATTGGCGTGGTGGCGAAGAGAACAGGAATTCAAATATGGAAGAAGCACCGACGACGACACTGCCCTAGACTCATGGGGGAACAAAGGGATATTCCCCAAAATGTGGAGGGTGAGTGGCTGGTGGCAGCTATGGACCAAGTTTACTGGGCGAGCAGGGACGCAACGTGGATTGAGCGCAAAGACGTGCCATGGGCGAGCGGAAGTCAGTTCGCTTTGGAGTGTTGATTGCGGATGCAAGTCTCATTCAGTTTGTGATTCTGTCTGCGTGCATGGCGTAGCAAGTTCTGCATTACGTGTACTGGCGATTGAGTGTACTTGAGTGGGAATGTCCTTGCAGCTGTGTCAAACTCTCAGTTGACGCAGCCCCGTACTGGTGATGAGAATGCTTTTCCTTCCATATCTCTCCATATGTATCGGCCTCCTCATCGTGAGGGCTAAGGAGCTCTCCTGCAGTGGACAACTTCAAAGTGATCAATACAGAAATTGGGACCATTTTGGTCCGGCGACAATGAGTACTACGCAAGGTGAACATGATGTTCTAGGGCGACCCTTCTGGTGGACTGGTGAAAGTCAGCAAGGGACCGAGATCATTGGCCAAGGCGAGACAAAATGCTGGAACCCAGAGATTGGTGAACGACGTCGGGAAAAACATGGTGGGCCAGCCTTGCCGGAGATGAGCGCCGATGTCTACTACATGGACCTCCCGATCGCCCCGAGTAACACGATTCCCCGCGCCGTAGTTGCAGAGGAGGCCAGCTATGACCACAAGTCACACAGCAACCCTGGGAAGCCACAATCCAACACAGGGATCAATAACATGGACCCTAGCCCCAACAACACCTGTGAAACCTCGGAGATGATGCGCAACAAGCCCTAGCACATACATGAGGAAAGGCCAGTGTCGAGTACCAGCTATAGTTGGAGAAAGGGTTGGTGCCAAATCTGGGACGCAGATGACCTCTTTGACTTCTGTATGGTGTACGTGCGTTACCTGGACGTCCTCGGTCACTACGTGGAGGAGATAATGCACAACAACGACCCCCTGAAGCCCCCGCGTTACATGATTCAGTGCATCGTGAATATGATGGAGGCCAAGTATGACGTCAACATAGCTATGTTCGAGAACATCATGAAAGGTGGGTCTGCGGAGTGCATGCCAGAGCGCGACATGAACCCTACAGAACATGACGAGGATACAACGTGGGTGCTGGATCGTGGTCACAGGAAATGGAATCGAGGACGAGGATACCGTGGTGGGAATGGCCGCCGCCCATGGCGAGATGGCCCGCGTGCGCGACGAGACCAGAACATTGAGACCCAGGTGTGGAAGTGCACTAGAGAGAGAGGGCGTGGAAGGCAGTGACCGTAACAGGGGAGGAACAACGCCGGGATCGGCAACCCCAAGGGAGCCCAGGGAACCTCCACCGCAGCATGACCAACAAGGAGAAGACCGTTAAGGGTTATGCCAGAGCATGACGCGGCCATATGGTGGAGTGATCTGGTTGAACTAGGAGGTGACCATGCTGAGGCTGCTCTTCAACCTGGAACGAATCCAGCTGGACCGCATCATGTGTGTCCAGAATATATCATGGAGTTGGAGGGAGTAGGGCAAATGGCTGTGGCCATGCATGCTTACCAGTGGTTTGCATGTGGTCATGATGCAGGAGGGGAACCAAGAAAGGGGAAAAAGACGCAAGGTCAACCAGAAAGAAGATGATGATGTCGGCCGAAGAGACCTCCCAGACAGGTTGCCGCGTCATCCGCCATCCAGCAGGAGAAGCAGACTACAGTGAAGGAGGAGCCCTGGGTTCATGATGCTCCCCAATGGGGGTCCAAAATGGCCGAGTCCTCAGCAGGTCTACTACATGGTGGTGCCGACCAAGAGAGTGATTGGGTGGTATTGCCACGCCGAGCAAGACAAGTGCTTGATGATGAATTTCACGCAAGAGGATCCACTGTGGTAATCGTCGCTGGTCTTCTTCTACGCACCATTGGTGCGATGTTACAGGGCATAGGAAATATCCTTGAGTCCTATGTCGTGGAGAGATTGATTTCGGAAGGGCCTCCTGCAAATGCCTCCATGCCGGCTACCTATCAGCCTCTACCTGCTGCTCCCGAGCCACTACAGGACCAAGATGAGGGAGAAGAAGATGATCATCAATGCCTGATGCAGAGACAGGGTAGACAAATGAGTGACATCACGGATGGAAAACCTAAAGGGTGACCTTCATGCAAAGCTGGATGAAGTCCGGCATCGAAATCCGGCCAAAGCCAAGGACCTAGCAGTCTCCATCACCCAGGTGATTTACAGGAACCGGAATAGTCTTCTTCCATCTGTGCGTCAAGTTTGTGTTGGATTGCAACAGGTGATTGACGCGGCCATGGGCGAGACTCACAGAGTGGAACCCAGACATTATGCGCGGGGACGCAAGTGGGTGAAGAAGTTCTGGGGCAGAACGAGGGCTTGATGTTGCACAGTGGTTGCCAGATGGAAAAGAAGGGTGAGGCGGGGGATTGGACCAGGGGTGCCACAAGATGGACCGCAGTGACGAGCGCAGCAACACGCCATCTGTGATCGCGAACTGCAGGAAGAAATGAGGGATAATGACGTGGGTGCTAGTGGAGCAAATGAAAGGGTTGAAGACGCAGGCCATGATGAGTTGAGTGGAGAAGCATCAGTGCAGATGGTGGTCGATTTGAGTGAGGGAGACAATGAAGACGAAGGGCAGGGCAGTGAAGATCGGACGCATCACTCTACATCATGAAGGGCAAGCGCGCGTGGTGAACGCCAAAAATGAGAAGGAGCCTGAAGCACGAACCGGGTCATGGCGAAGGAGATCCAGCACACATACACGACCCTCCGCGACAAGATGGTCAAGAACATGAAGACGAGACCAACCTAGTACAAACATGGCTGCCTTTGCTTCAGCCAGAGCTGGAAGGTCTGCGAAAGGAAAGGGTCGCCATTGGAGGCCATGTGGCGCAGCTACAGGTGTGCATGAAGGACATGATGGACAAGTGTATGGATGGCGAGACTATGGCGGCGCTCCAGGCCCTCATGATCGCCTCTGAGGACGAACCTACCAATGAAAAGGACCCTACCCATGCAACTTTGCAGAGAAATGGAACCGCAGATTGCGAGACTTGCAAAAACGACGTCAAGTGATCCAGGTGGAGTCGCAGGATGGTGGTGATGGCAGTGACAATCTTTGTGGAGCGGAAGGGCATTGCCGTGATGAATGCCCCCAATGGGAGAAAGATATGATCAAGGAAATGGAGAAGGACCTCAGGGTGCAGCGTCTCAGGCGTGAAGCAAAGAGCATGATCCTGATGAACGAGTGGCGCGTACCACCAGTGTTGATGAGGGTGCGGGGGTTGGCGACATGCTGGATACTTCGAGTTCGAGTACGTCGAGTTCTGGAGTCACACTGGTCGAAGTTCAACTACATGGAGTGAGTGTGAGGCTTGATGAGACCGTTATTGGTCCTGATGGAGAGGTCCCGGTAGGCCTAAGGCTTCGCATTTCCAAGGGTCCACGCACAGACCGGGCCACTCAAACAGAATGAGGCTCTCCTTTATTTCCGAGTGGGCAAGAAAGCTGTGCCTGTCAGGCAGACGTAATAAAAGTCCGAAGGTTAAAAAACTTAACCCTAATTCTAGGGTCCCCATGTAATCCCTGAACCTTACCGCTAAACCCCTAATTCCAAATCCTAACCCCAAAAAACCCTGTTACCTCCAACCCCTGAAGGCCCACCCATTAACCGTGAACCACTTGTGAACCTAAGCCCAAGCCCCAAATGCCCTGACGCGAACCGAGGCCTAATCTTGCAACACCTGCAAGCTCAACACCTTCATCCTAAATCGTTGCAGTCTTGGCCCCCGAGCCCAAAAAACGCGAGCATTGACCATGAAAACATGCCAGCCCAGAGCCCAGTTTTCAGGCAAAATGTTCATGTATTTATTTCCCGGAAAAACGTGCCCTACCTGCAGCACCTATAAGCCCAAAACCTTCACCCTAAATCGTTCACGTCTTGGACCCCGAGCCCCAACACCGCGAACCTTGACCCTGAAAACATGCCCCGCCCCGAATGGTGGAAACAGTAGCCCTTGCCCTCGCCAACCAGAATCCAATCCCTGAACCCAAGCCCAACTCCCTGAAACCTGACCCCGACTAAACCCTAAACCCCCCAAACCCTAGAGCCTGAACCCTAACCCTAAACCCTAATCCCTGAACCCTAAACCCTAAAGCACGAACGTAGCCTTACCCCTACACCCTAGCTACCCGTAACTGAGACCTAAACGTTAAACCCGAACCTAAGTCTGTGAGCCCTGAACCTTAAACAGCCACAAGCCCCCACCATGAAAGGCCCTTAGACCCTAAACCCTAAACCTTGTCCTAAACCGTGAAACCCTAGAACCCCTAAAAACCCCCTAGCCTGGAACCCTAACCCGAAACCCTAACCCTAGAAACCGTGTTACCCCCGATGCCTAAAGCCCTATCCTAAACCCTGAACCCTCAACCCTAAACCCTAAACCCTAAACCCTGAACCCTAAACCCTAAACCCTAATCCTAAACTAAGAGAGGGTCGCTACCGTCGAGCGACAGACCCCGAACGCTTGGCCGAGGGAGACAGAAAGGTGAGGGTAAATAAAGCCTCGCCGTCTGACCTGGACAGGCCCAGACCACCTTTACGTCAGTAAATATTAACCCCAAAGACTGCCCCATTTGCTCTGGAGGTTTAGGGTTTAGGATTTAGGGTTTAGGGTTTAGGTCCTAGCGCCTCCCAGGGCCTCCCAGGCTTTCCCTTGGCCCTTCAGGGCTTTTCAGGGCTTTTCAGGGCCTCCCAGCGCCTCCCAGCCGCTCCAGAGCCTAGGTCCATCCAAATTCCCAAACCTTTCCAAAATGTCCAGAACCTTCAAAACCGACCCAAGGCCAGCCTACAAAACAAAAAGCTAGAGCCATTGGCTTTGCAGATCTTTAAATGGCCTCCCCTGCTCCCAGCAATTGTATTTTGGAGTAGGTGATCCCTTATTCGGAGCCATGTCCGGGGGTTTCAAGCCGGACACACCACTTGAATACACACCAGCTTTGAGGAAACCGTTACCTTGACGCCTGCGGGCTACTCCCAACCGGAGTGGATGCCCGAGATGATCGGCCTAAGGTGGCTTTTAGACGCTTCCGGCTTCCATTCGCAAAGTGACACCTGTTCAAAACCTTCGGTTGAGGGCCCGTGCAGGGCATTGCATGCCTAGGGCTACCCCTTTCCGGAGCGTATACCCAAAATGATCGGCCATGAGGGGTGATGGTGGTGATCATCTTCAGAGGAGAAGAAACCCTAAATGGCCCTAAATCCTAATGGAGTATAGTTTGGGTGGCCGGGGTGGNNTTCACGCCCGAGCGCGCGCCCTTGCCTGACACACCCTAAGCCCTAAACCCTAAACCCTACACCCCTAGACCCTAAACCCTAAACCTGAAACCCTGAACTTTAAGCATGAGGCGCTATTTGCTGAGATGTGTCGCAAATTCGCGTTTTGCGAAACAGAGAAATCGCCTGAACCCTTCACCCGTGACCCTAATCCCTGAACCGCAAACCCTGAACCGTGAACTCAGCCTTCACCCTAAACCCTGGAGATGCGTGACCTGAGACCTAAATGTTGTTGAGCCTCAGCCGTGGACATTACATCCAAAGCCTATAAGCCCTGAGCCCTGAACAAGCTTATGGTGTCCTTAACCTAAACCCCCTAGCCCTAGACCCTAACCCTAAAGTGTGAGGCGTTATGTGCTGAGACGCGTCGCAATTTCGTGTTTTTTAAGAAGGAGAAGGCAATTCTTGCCGAGACGTGTCACAAATTCGCATTTTTGAGAAGTCGCAAGTGACCCCCGAGAGAAATCACAAGCGACCCTCCTCTCGAGAAGTCACAAGTGACCCCCTTTTCTGTCACTCGGGCAGGCACCCTTAGAGACGGCAGCTTCGCGAGGTAACCCAGGCCAGAGTCCCTTACAAGGGGGTTTGACAGATGACTGGGGGCCCAGCAGGTCTCAGCGAGTCTGCGAAAATGGTGCGTTCGGAAGTGGGTTCTGACCTTGCCGCGCCTTCAGCTGCATTGCAATCCTACTTTTTTTCTTGCGGTGATCATTCCAGGTGAAATTCCAGCCTGCGAATGTTGCGCGACAATTGCAACCTGTGCCAAGTCCTTGCTAAAGCCGATGTTAATTTGTTGTATCAGCGGGGCTTTTTGTGTGCTGTGACGACATGCGTAGATTCGTCTGCTGTGTTCCAAGTCCAAGGCCACCTACCACCAGCAAGCGAGTGCCCTGTGCATTTGACAGCAGTGACTCAAGTGCAAATTTTTGGGTGTCGTGCCAGGTGCAAACGAAGCGAGATGCTCTGGGATATTCACTAGGCACCCGGGAGCGGGTCCTCCCGGCCTGCTTGCCTTTCAAGCCTGCGTTGTTCAGCCGTTCAGCCATGACAGCTTCACATCGATGCTGGATCTCGCTTTCCGGGGTGTGCTGCGCAGCCACCTCTGGGTATCAGCCATAGTCGTATATGGTGTTTTAGCTTTGTTTGTCTTCTGCGTCTGGGTCGTTATGCGCACTGAGGTGCAACAATGGGACACGGACTTGCTCCAAGCACAAAAAAGTACCAGGTGTCCGGAGAACAAGCAGAGTTACCTTGCAGTTACCATCCAAGCCTCGAGCTGCTTTGTGAAAGGACTACTTCTTTCCCAGCGCTGCTGGTGCCGAAGTTGCAGAAGAGGTCATCCTGCCAGACTTCCCCACCAAGGATCATTATCATATTGAATGATGCAGAGGCTGTGCAGGTGCCAACAGAGAAGGTCGATGGTCAAATCGTCAGCAAGTGCCGGGCCAAGTCATCAACAGTTTTCCAGAAAATCCGCTTCCCTCGTGTTTCCCGTCTGCCAAGGAACCCGCAGCTCAAACACCGGCTCTTTGGAACCCGATAGCCTCAGCACTGAGTTGGGTGAGCAACCCAATGTACAAAGCACGCAACAGCTTGCGATAGCTGTTTGTGGCTGCAAAGTTGGCCTTTATGGACATTCTGTGTGCTAGTCAGGCGCTCAAACCTCTTTGTACAAAGCTTCCGAATTCAGCTATGTGCTCAATTGCATGCCAGCTGTGCTTCGGATATGTAGGGCCAGCCGCTACTTGACCGTTGCTTCAAAAACCATATCTTACGGAGATTCAGCGAGGGGGATAGTGCAAGAACAACACAACTACTTCCTTTGTGCATGTGCTAAGAAAGGACGGACAAGTCAAAATTGTCATGGGGCAGGGTTGGGCAGGTAGTTCGCAGGTCGCAACGTGAGCATGCCTGACCCAAACCTCTGTTGACACTGAGGGTTAGCCCAGATCATGGAGCGCTTGAATAGTAGCCCCAAGGACGGTGGGTACCTTTCAAAAGCAGGCCGTGCTTATTTTCTGTTGTTCTCTCAATATAACAGGTCATGCTGTAAGTTCTTGATCCTGAGTAGTTTCAAGAAAGTCCAGTGCGGTCGCAAAGGGAACTTCAGGCTTTGCGACATAGGTATTTCTGACGGGAATTTGATCAAGCTCTAGTTGAAATGAACTTCAGTATGTGCCCTCAACATTGTCTGCGTGCTGCAAAGCCTGTTAGTCAAAGGGATCAGCTTGAAACTTCCAACCCGGATCGTGCCTTGCAAGTGGCAAATGGAAGGGATCATGACATGTACAAAGTTTTCAGGAAACACAGGGTGGGTACCCAGCTGTGCCCAATGAAGCTCAGGGCAATCTCGGGTAATCCAGGCCTCATGACGTACCTTAGTTGAATGCTTTGGGTTCAATTTTCCAGTAGCAAAAACATGCTGGCATGAATGTGACGTTATACAACCGCCTCTATGACAGTTCTGTTTTCAAGCCACTGAATTTTGCCTTGAGCAACTAGTTTGCCTTGTGCGATTAGTGTCTGCCCCCAGCAACCAGCGAGTGGACAACCAGCATTCATGAGGTCATGATTCCTTTCACTTCCACCGCAATGTTGAAAGTCGACGAGGAAGGAAGGTTTTGCCTTGAGGGCCAAGCGCCGTTGAGCAGTCCTGTTATTGCATTGCATGTATTTGAAGTGCCGCAGCCGGTTGATATTGGAAAAACATGTTGTGACCACCAGTAACCTTCCGGTTGTTTGCAACGACTCATGCAACCTGTTGCTCTCTCAACAGTACTGTGGCCTGAGCATTTCTTGCAAAGTTTTCAGCCATGAGCTTGGACCTTCCAACAAGTGTTTGGTACAGTATGCCTCCCCAGAACAAAAGCAGAGGCGATGCAGGTGTTGCTGAGAACACTGTGTGGTGCAGGCCAAGCCAAAGTCCATCCCTGTCCCAGATTTTTGGGGCAGCTCAATTCCCGTGATGTGACGGTGGGAAACCAACTTGTTGAGGGAATCTCTGTTCGGGTAAGTCGTGCCTCAGCAAGCTGTGCAAACTCACAGCTTTGCTCCTCCCCCCCTCAGATGTTTAAACGGCAGCGGTTTCGCTATGCTCGAAACTGTCGTCGTTTTTGGAGCCTTGCAGCATTGTGGCGTGTCTAAAATGTCAACAGTCACAGTGGTGGGAACGTGGGGGTTGCCATCCTTGTAAGTGTCGTCACTGTAGGACAGTGATCTTCTCTTTGTTTGTCGGAAGTGTCAACAGTCACAAGATGGGACGTGTCGGGGTCGCGATCCTCGAAACTGTCGTCACTTCTGGGCGCCCGTGTCCTGAGCGGATATTGGGGCGGAAAGTGGCGTGGAGAGTAGAATCTGGCATGGGCTGAGGTATGGAGAGTGGAGTGGAAGGTGGCGGAATGGAAAGTCGAGTGTGAAGAGGAAAGTAAGTGGAGAGCGGACAGAGCAAAGTGAAGTGAAGTATTATGGAGATCAGAGTGGGGAATGGAGAGTGGAGTGAGAGTGGAGAGAGGAGCGTGGAGTGGAGAGTGGAGTGGGGTGGAGTGGAGTGTGGAAAATAAAGCGTGGATTGTGTGGAGAGTGGAGTCCAGAGTGGAGAGTGGAGAACGGATTGGAGTGAAGTTTGGAGAATGGAGAGTGGAGCGTGAAGAGTGGAGACTGGGGAGGAGAGTGGGGAGGAAAGCGGAGCGGAAAGTGCTGGGCTGGGGGCGTGGAGAATGGAGAGAAGAGAGTAGAATGTCGAGAGGAAAGACGAAACTGGAGTGGAAAGTTAAATCAAGAGTGGAGAGTGGAGGGAACTGCGGAGAGTGGAGTAGTGAAGAGAATGGAGCTTGGAGCGCGGAGCGTGGAGTGTGGACACGACAAAGGAGAGTGGGGAGTGGACTTTTTTCAAAGGTGGCTTTTGGAGACGGATGCCTTCCAAGTGTTGGTATCCTTTCTTCAAGGTCTAGGTCCAACGGGCTTCAAAAGCCGTGCGAAGTTAAGGATCTGTCGGCTTGGTGGAGTTGGCATTTTGGAAGAAGGATGGACATTTTGGCTTCCGCAAAGTGCGGGATCTGCAAATGCAAATCAATCTCTTTTTCGTGCACCGTTTCGAATTATTGCTACACAAGTGCCCCCGAAACAGTATCTGATGCACCAATTTCGTGTCATAGTCATATCCCGAAATCATTTTTTGTCTCCATGAGTTGCAGCAAGCACCTCCAGCCAAAATCGATCGGCGGGCCGCAGGTTGCGCATGCTGCAATGTTTTTACCATTCTGGTCCGCAGACGGACCGGGCTGTGTGCATGTGCGCTGCAAACCTGTTGGTCGAAGTTATCATGACACATACAGAGTCTTCAGGGGGGCAAAAGGCGGTTGCCAGCTGTGCCCAACCAAGCTCAGGGTCACCCACCAGGATATCACAATGGACGCCGCGTGACGTACCTGCTTTAAATGCCCTTGAGTGCAGCAGCATCGCTTGCTTCAAAAACCAAACTTCCATGCAACTACGTTTGTAGGGAGTTTCCGAAGTTTGCCTCTGCCTGTGGGTTGCTAAGATGTCTCAGCATGTTTTGTTCCGACTCCGCGTGCAGGAAAATCGTGCACCAAGCTAGGGGAGTTGAAGAAGTTTCTAGCATGGAGGGGCAGGAGCCGATGTTGGAAATTTCCCCCGGCGTAAGGAAAGTGTGATTCCTTTTCCATTTGACCCAAGGCACCTTCAAGTTTAGCATCGGAAGGTGTGTGTGAACAAGAGCCGTTCCAACATCTTTTAGCCACCACATTCTGCTTCTTACGCAATGAGATGTGCCGTTTTGGCCCGTGCAGTTTGCCAATTCAATTGCAGCTTTCGCCGACTCCGTGGCTGCACCGCCGCAAAAATCGCAGTGGTGACTTGGTTGAGCAAAGAAGAGAAACAGGGGGCTATTGTGAAGGACAGCCGCCAGAGGTTTTGGAAGCATTGGGTTGAGAGGAGTCTCCCAAACAAACGCAGAGCAAGCGTGCGACTAGAGCATATTGTGTCATTCTTGGTTCGCCATCTGCCCTGTGCCATCCACACAGCCAAAGTCCTACGCAAGCCGCCAAAAAGAACAAGACGTCTAAAGTCTAAAGTCATGGTCCGCAAGGTCCGGCAAGGGCTTTTTGACCGCGTGTCGTAAGCACATGTAAGGACCCTGGTACGTATAAGCAAGGCAAGCCGGCCTGCGTGTCGGCACGGAGGTTGATCTGCATGCTTTGGTGCTGAGGTGAACCATGGAGTTTGGATTGACTGAGGAGCAAGTGCGTGTGTACACTGAGGCAGCGACAAAAACTAGTCTAGCAACGCCTGCTCCTTCGAGTTGTGGTGCTTCTACTGCAACAGGCCTTCAATGACATGGACAAGAACCACACCGGGGTTCTCCAACCAGCCGCTCGCTTAGCTCCATGATTTCGCATGATGCAGGGATTTGCGTTCTGCACAGAAGACTGGCACAATCAGAGCAATGGCCATCACCTTTGGCACCTAGACTCGGAAGCCCAAAACGCACAGAGCAACAAGAACCTCCATTGTAAAGTAGCCAAGATGGAAACAGTCGTTTTTAGAACACCGCAAATCTTGACTTGAAGACGCCCATGCTGCGGTTTGAGGGGTTGGATGCGGTTGAGTGGTGGTGGGGATCCTTTGTGGAGGTGGGGCAGAGGCCAGTGCTGAACACCTTTGAGGCAGTGTGGCATACGTTTCGAACCCAAAGCGAAAGCATACCAAAACAGATTGCTCAGAACAGCAGGATGAAGGTCTGGGGGCCTAGAACCTCCGACTGGGAATTCAGACAATTCCGAGTTCCGACTTTGCAATTTTCACTTTCGGGTAATGCTCTTGAACTTTGGCGGGGGCTGGCCTCGATCTGGACAGATCGCGGCATGATAAACATCATCCTTGTACTGGCTTTGGACCCCAGGATATGCTCAACGTGACAACACAGATAAGCTGATAAACAGAAGAACGCAGCAGACGAGGGTACTGTCAGAGATGCGCAAAGAAAGAGAAAAGTTGAGCGATCAAAGCCATTGGCGCTGGATACGTTGAGAAGCGGCAGCCTGCAGATCGGCAAAATCGGAACAGCAAAACCTGGGCGAAGCAGATGGGAAACAGCAACAGGAACGCAGCACAAAGAAGCAGACACACATGACATATGCATAAGGGAGGGCTCAAGGAGACGCAGATCTTAAGCCACGTGGAGCCCGAAACCCCAGCACGTGCCCCTGCTTGCAAGACGGAGCTGGGCATCCTGATGAGATCGCGTGGGCACACCCTCTCGGACGAGGCTCATGCTCACATATCACGTGCAATGGACTCAGCCTCACGAAGCCTTGCCACAATCAGAGGACATGCGCGATCTGGCTGCTGACAGGCGTGTTGTTCGTGCATTTGACACAGATTCTGTAGCATCTTTAGCTGACGTTGCGTAGTAAAGGCCTAGTGTGTTTTGCTTTTCTTCTTTTCTTCGTGTTCCTGCTTGATTACATCGGAACTCCAGGCATGGGACCGTCACACTTGCAGATTTTCTGCAAATCATGGCCAAGCGGGAGCAGGAGTGCCCTTGAGTTTTTTTCTCACTGAGCATGAGTTGTCTTGTTCCTGCCACTCGAAAGGATGTGGTCTTGCAACAGAAGCTGGCCCAAGCTTTTGCTGTGTTTGACAAAGACGGAAGTGGCTTCATTAGCGTCAACGCAGAGAGCGACTTCCGGAAGCAAATGACGTGTCTAGGCGGCAGTTCCAGGCGTCAAATTGTGGAAAGCGATGAGCTTGGCCAGCAAGGCCTAGGGCTCTGACAACTTGATTGCTCATGAAGTTGCCGATTTCGTACAAGGGGCCATGCTTCAGCAAAACTCAAAACTTCGACTTTCTTAAAGGTCCCTTATATAAAAATACCCCTACTAGAGACAAATGCCAGCTCCCGCAGCCTGTTTTCCAGCATCCGGCAGCGTGGTAGCCTGACTGATAGGAGGCCGAGCCGTAAAGCAGAGTCCCTTGTTTTCGGGGCAGGAAGTGTTGGCAAAGCCCCCAGAACGTTCAGATGAGGGTGACTTGCGACAAGCTGGGGTCACTTGTAAGTGCGAATGTTTTTCTGATCTACAGGCCTTTTGCTCAATTTTAGCCTCTTTAGCCTACCGCTTCACTGGGTAAGAGGAGAAGAAGGGCGGGCACACAACAGTAAACCTTGACCGAATTCGGACGTGCCAGCAACCAAAGCTGTGCTGCAAATGTTGCTCAAACCATGACTTAGATTTCTTTAGACCGCACGTGCTTTCACCCACATGCAGCCTCAGGTCTAGGCCCCGGCTCCATATTATGTTGGTGCGGCTGAATTTTTATTGAGATTTGGGACGTGGGCGGGTCGTACCTCAACGCTACCATCTTTGGGGCGGGTCGTACCTCAACGCTTCCATCTTTGGGGCCGGTCGTACCTCAACGCTACCATCTTTGGGGCGGGTCGTACCTCAACGCTACCATCTTTGGGGCTTGATGCTCTCATTGTGGCGCGGCTATGACGATTTCAGTCGCCTTGCCTTGTTGCAGTTTGTGCGAGCATTCTGCAGTGCATTTTTGATGAAACTAAGTCGCGTGAGGTGGGGGCTGGCCGCCCCGCAGAAGTTAAGCAATTTCAAGTACCAGCCAAGCCAGAACCACGATTTGTAAACCTGTTGTTGTCAATTCTTAGTCTTATCAGCGTGCATGATGGTTCTGCACGTTGTCGCGGGTCACTCTGATTCTGGCTTGCTAGCAGTTTTCCATCAAAATCATGTTTGGCAACGACTGGTCTCAACTACCTGCTACTGGTATTCTAACGTTGGTCCAAAGATAAAGTGCAGCACATTTACAAATGCATTCTGAGCATGGCCGGTAGTCTGGTTGCTGAAGCTGGTGTGTCGCTTTGTTTTCTTTTCATTGCAAGATGAAAAGGGGGGGGGCAGGGCGGGACGTATCTAGTTCACATTTGATTAGCATGGTTTGTTGCTGGAGTGGGCGTTGTCACGTGAGCATCTTCAGCTTTTGGCTCAAAAGCTTCTTTCGAGCATTCCATGTTCAGTTTCTTCGGTGCTACTTGCGCTCATGCAAGTACTGTTCCTATTTCTGATGTTGTTTGTTTTGTTTCTGTGGCAGGTAGAAGACTTGTTTTGCATTTTGGTACGTGTTCATGAGTGCTACTGTTATTCTTGCTGCCACAATTGCGACTTCTAGGACTAAAATCTTTGTCATCAGGCATCATGTGTAATACGATTGTCGTTGCTAGTGGAGCCCTTGCCAGTGGCATTTTTAGTAGGGTCATTGGTCACTACTAGACAATTTCTTCTCATTTAAGCTGTTGCTGCTTGTGATTACTGCTGTCACGGCTTGGTCATTTTTGTCCCTGTAAAGCAGCTTTTTCTATACATCATTGCATGTTGTAGATGTTTAGTCTCTCATCCCACTAGCGGGAGCATGTTTTGGCACCCCAGCGAACCATCGAGCAAAAGACACGTTCCAGCAAGAACAAGCTACAAAAAACTTGACCCCGTGATTATCGGTACTTTGTGTCTTGTTGCCATGGGGAAGATTGAGCGTGTGAAGGAGAACGGTGGACACAGAATGGAAAAAGTATAGAAGTCGAGTCTTTGACCGTTGTGGAAATTATGGGCGACGATGGAACAGTCATAGATAATTGTAGAAAACTATAGGAGAGGTCTGCCAAGACCGGGCAATTTATGCAGCTTATTGAAACGGGAAGACGACTGATTCCAAAGGTCTCTGGGAAGTAGCCCGTTTACCGACGAGCAGTTCGAGAATTTCTTGAGCGAGTGCACCTCTCAGCTTAGAGTCCACCTTGTGCAGTGCGCGAGTCTCACATTCTAAATCTCTCATCAGGTATCGGGCTGAGGCTGCCTCGCAGCATCCAGCTGAACAGGCGTGGACATCAGCTTAGGAGTTGGTATTTTCATTTCAACTTCGTTCTATTTGGCCGCTTGTCAAGCAGGCTTGGCCAACTAATGTTCATAACCGTGCTGCGCACGCGGACTCTACTATGTAGACAAGGGAGCACCGCGAGCCGCAGCATTCGGAGGCTGAGACTGGCAGATCCCTGTTGGAGACAAGTCTACTGTGCGCCATGGAATGGTCATGTTGCATGGAACCCAGCATTTGCGGCAAGCTTTGGAAGGATGGCTTGGTGGACTACCAGGCCTGAAATTTCAAATCTCCTTACTTGCATGCGTGTAGGTGCACAAGCTTTGCATAGCAGAGATGGAAGCACTATCATGGTGGATGTCAGCTCAGAGACATTTTTCATTTGAGTCAATGATTCAATCGGTGTTTTGACTCTTGCTATTGCTTGTCACTTGTAGCAGGAGTTCATCAAGCTGATGCTTCGGAAAGCTCCATGAGCAGGATCCAAGAGCTCAACAGCATATGTTTCACACAGTTGCTAGGATTCTTTGGGGCACGGCGTACTCCGTTCCATTTTAACTTTGCCTTCTGCGAGAAGATGTGAAATGTGCAAGCTTGTGTCCTGGAAGCTGACGCTTCGCGGTTTCACCCTCCGAAGTGCTCAAGCGCGGTGTGGTTTCAAAGCGTGTCAGGTTTGCTTTGGAATGATCCTCATGGGATTGTTGAAGGGGTCTGGAGCAGATAAGCAAGCATAGCCAGCTTGACCTTAAAACATGTTGAAGGGTTTCAATTTGCATGGCAATTTTAGGAACTCATTGCTGGTATGAATTATTTCAGTATAGTCTTCTACAGCATAAGAACCAAATCGCATGAACTTTAATTGAAGAGGTTGCACACCTTGCTCCAGTAACCCTATTCTTTTGGCTCAAGTTTCCAAGCTGAACACTGCCTTAACACAGTTTGATGGCCCCGTTACCATGCTTTTCGATAGAAATCGGCCATCGTTCGGGACGAAGCAAGCAAGATCCAAAAAGTGACCAACGCAAGAACCCAGCACGAATTCCATGAGCTTTTTGATCCGTTTTTGACGGTACTTTGATCTCAACTGTTTGCATTGCTTCCAGAACGCAACAGGCTTCAGGCACTTAGGGTCATAAGGACCGGTTTCGCCCTCTTGTTTTGCAGCAGATAGCCGGGAAAGCTGAGGGGCATTCCGCAGCACATCTGCGAAGCCTGCCACAGCAAGCGCTTGTGCAGGCTCTCAGCATATCAGAGGCCCAAACGCTGCCAAGCAAAAGCTCCAAGACACCATGAAAAGAAGCACCTGCGGAGAAGCGAAAGACATCAGCAATGGCTTGCTCAGTGCTCATAGCTCATCCGATTGTGGCCTCCCAACATCTGCCCGCCTTTGCGGTGAAGAACTTTTGCTAGGCGACTGTAGGTAAGCAAACCCCAGTTGCAGCTTCCAGGGACACGCATACAGACTGGTCTGAAGCATAGGCCCAAACCGATGATGGCTTTGCATTTTTCTTCTCATTCTTAGACTCCCTACTAGACTTTGATGCCTGGCCGAATCCTCAGTAACTGCCGGCGTCATTGCAGCCATGTTCTGGTTGTGGTCTTGGCTCAAGTACTGACAATAGCAACACTTGTAAGATAGCTGCCTTCATGACTGATTGTCTAGTCAAGCATGACTAGGCCCACGCAAGAGAGCTGTCATTCTCATAAGCTTTTGGTCAACCGATCCATTCCAGCCATTTTGCCATGGATGCTGTTCATGCAGAAAGGCCTTACCTTCTTGCTGGGAAGGCTTAAGCTTGATGTCAACGTGCGTGTGTGAACCCTACCTAGGACATGGAGGATAAGGATTCACTTCCTCCTGCATGTACGTCGCGTTCGCATATTTTCACATTGAATTTTACATCCATGCAGGGGGCACCTGGGGCATGAAGCAACGAACCACATCTGTGTGACAGATTAGAAAATTGCCCCTGTGCGGAAGATTAGATGGCTCCTGGCAGCCTTTAGAGTTTTCACATTTGCATTCAACATGATCATGCAGTTTTCGGTGTGTTGCAAACAGTGCGTGAGTGAGCTTGACAGCATTTGATTTCGACAAGCCTCAAATTCTTTTCACATGCAGTACAGATTGTATCAGGACCAAAGTAATCTTGCAACGGAATACCCAATTTCCTTTGCTAGCCAATCCTTGAGATTGACGTTGCAAGTGCGTGATGTGGCAAATCTAAATTCTCATGATGAACCCTGCGCTGGAGCTAAGCTCCTTCCAAGATGCAGGATCCTCTAGGGTGGCCGGTGAGCTGTACTTTTTTTTTTATTGGCGTAAGCCTCAGCCTTAGCACAAAGGGCTGACGGTATTTTTGTGCATTTCACCCCTGCTTTTCCAATTTTGTCCATCCGCTGTTCTTGCCCGCAGGCCAGCGAGCAAGCAAGCTTGGAAGCGCCCGAGACAATCAATGGGGAAATAGTAATGCAGACAAATCAGACAATTTCTCAGTCTTGCCGATTTTTTGTTTTGGCATTGACTATGATTGTTAATCCTGTTGTTGCAATGACTTTGCTTCTTAGTGCTGTTGTTGGACAACAACCCATGTTGTTTGAATCGACCCCTTGTGTGCGGAGCGGCCGACCGTCTTGGCTAAAGGATGCTGAAATCCACCTTTAACGTGGAACGTCCTCACATCTCGGCCTGGGCAGGGAAGCTGAAAAAGAGCAAAACATATTGAAGACATCCGGAGAGAGCATGTAAAACTATCAGCGTCCTTTGGCCAGAACCCCCCAATCACAATTTCACCTAAGCAGCCAGAAGTCTTGAATCAGCAGCCTCCGCGGTCCAGTATCGTCGTTGATGGAGGTCAAAGCTGGTGCAGCGGCAAAAGCAGCAACGACAGGCGCGTCACGCCAAGTAAGTAGCGCAGACTTGTGGCGAACAATGCCTAGAAGTAGTTATTACTTTTGAGAGTGCACGAAGCCACGAAGCCTTTTTTCCCAGCACATTGCCAAGAGACGAAACGTGTTGCATACTCACAGCAGGAACTGGAGAAAAAGATCAAAAAGCTGAAAGGCGAGCAGCTCTGTGCCCGACACGGCTCAGCGGCTGTTGCCGCTCAGGGGCTGTTATCTCGGCAGGTGCCATGAAAGAGGCTGCCCAAAAGGAGCTGGATGAGTTGGAACAGTCGCACGAGGCATTGGCCATTTTGTGTTCGGATGTCCTTTTGCTGATCCCTGACCTTGCAAGCAAGGCGGAGTTAACCAGCTTCGATTCGAACAAGGGTGTTTCAGAAGGCACGGGCAAGGAAGTGGACGCCCCATCCTGAATTTTCCATGTTCCATGTGTCCTTTGCTAGAAGTTTGCGCTTGTCTGAGATTTCCGGTTGACCAGTCGGAATTCTCAAAGAATCCAGAGGCTACGGCAAACAACTTGGCTCCGACAGTGGAGGTGCTTGGAAGTGTCTTGTCTTGATGGGGGCTTCTTTATCTTGGCTGACAGGATGCCAAGAAGTTCCGGGAACGAAACTGGCACTGCCACCAAGTTTGGGTTGCCAGGACACACTGTGTGGCTTCGTGTCTTCAGAACCTGTAAGGAGCGGCCTATCCAAGAAAGAGCTCGAAGAGGAATGTGTAGCGAGAGGCTCACTGCAAGCATTTCACTTGCACTGTGGATTCATGGCCGTCCTGACCTTGCAGGTCTTGGAAAAAAGGGCTCAAAGGAAGACCTTGTGCAGAAGCTGATCATATTCCAGCAGGCATGCAGAGGTCATTTCTTTGGCTGCTTTGTCCTGTGCAGTCTGGTCGGGCACCGCTTTTGTTGGCGGTTGCACTCTATCATGCATGTAGCCTCTTTTGCGGACGCATCGTCGATTGTGAGTTTCGTCCGTAGATGTCCATACTTGCATTTGTCTTTCTACCAGTAAATAGGGCTTGGGTGTGCATTTGAAGAGCCATCTGCACCTTTCAAATTGTTTAGAATTGCCGTCTGTGATGTAAACTCACGTCAGCGGTTTACTCACACAGGAGATGAGCAACATTCCGCAACACTCCGCAACATTCGGTTGTGTTGCCAGCAATGGCAGACAGCCCAATCTAGATTCATCTGCATTCGTGCATGACGTTGCTTGGAGTCGTGCCTCCATGCGCAACTTCATTCAGGTACTTCCCAGCCACATGGTAAGCATTCTGTATGCATGAAGGATCATGCAGACATTCAATGGTAAAGAAATTTTGTTTAAAGGGCTCAATGGCATTCAGTCGAACCTTCGGTTACGCAAGCTTTGCAGGGAAAGCCGCGACACGTGGCTTGAAAAATGCAGGTGTGCACCACGCTCAGGAAATTCAAACAGCTGCAAGTGAAGCCCGACAGGCTAATAGCTACCGAGATGACATGCTATGCATCCAACATGCAGGCATCCCAACTCAGAGTTCTCATATGGCAGGTGCTGCTTGAAGTGGAGTTGCCTGGATTTCATGCATGCATGGGCTGGCAGTCAAACAAAGCCGCAGTTTCAATTGTTGTCGTAGGCTTTCAGGTCCTCAGGCAGCCCTGTTTTGTTTCAAATGCTGATGAGAAGGTACAATGTGCCATTTGACAGGAGTTGAGTTCGAAACTGGCATCAGCGGCAGAGGCCTGCTCAGTTTCTTTTTGAATAAGCAATTTGCTAGCACATCCTTGCTTGCCAAGTGCCACTTCTGAGGCTTCGTGTTCCGTAGATTTTTTCATTGCAGACCACATTTCTTGGCAAATCCAATCTCTGTCAGACATAGTAATTGTAAAGGGTGGCCTGAAAGGAAGGGCTTGTCTGAAACAACTTTTTCATATCTCGGGCTTATTCCAGGCCTGTTGTGGGGCTTAAGCTTATTCGGGAGCAGCAGCAGCGCCAACGGGAGCGAGGGCAACAGTACAAGCACGATGACTAGGCCTCCCAGTGACATGACTACGCGCTCGACGATGTTGATCAACCAAAGGCACAAAGCATGTTCATAATGCTCATGACGCCTGTGAAAGCTTCTAAGTAAGGGGCGATACTTGCGCATGAACATTGCCCGTCCTTGCAATTGACTCGACTTTGATCGCGCAATGAGCTGACAAAAGGGCCGCTCACTTGCTGTCTCCTGTGCCGGCTTGGCCTGACTCAACCAAGTCCACTGCTCTGGTTGTCTTGATTGAAAGTCCACCTAAAGCGCCCCTTCCATCCGTTTACTATCTCTTTGGGTGCTTTCACAACCGAGAGCGGTCGAGATTCGATCTTTCCGTACAAGCTACACAAGTACATCACCCATCCAACTTGGACCTGCATCTAGGCAGCTATCCTAGTTGCTTCATGTCGCATATCCCAGAACTTAGCAGCAAGGCAGAAGCTGCAGCATCTTGGCTTTGCACGTCCAATGGTCATAGTAGAAAGTCCAAATGAGTAGTGTTCTATTTCGGGATGCTATAGTCCGCAATGTAGAGCAAGATTCTATCATCCTTTTGGTGTATAGTGTGTTCTATAAGCTTCAACCAAAAAACGTTACCGACATGGCCTGCAAGTTCATAGCAAAAGCTTTGGGCAGGCCAAAGCTTCCAAAGGCTACGCAGCTCAAGCTGCTCCAGCTCCCTGCCTGGCTTGAGTTTTATTGCAAGCAGACACTGAAATCTGCGAGCCTGAGATGCTCTGAGCCAGTAAGGCTGCAGCAGAGACACGGGAAGAAAAGGCCGCCACCAAGGCGGAGGATGATGACGATGAGGATGACGATGATGAGGATGACGAGGATGACGAAGATGATGAGGACGATGATGAAGACGAGGCTGAGGAGGTCCCTTGGCTTTTGCTTCGAGCTTGGAAGTTCTGGGTGCGTGGCTGCATTCAAAGCTCTTGGCTTATTCCGTCTTTCCGTCCAGGTGGATGCAGAGGAGATGGAGCGGCAAGGCAAGCGCGAAAAGGCGAAAGATGCAAAAGTATTGAGAGTTTCGAGATGTTTTGAAGAGCCTGGAGTGCCGACAGAGCGATAATCGTAGATGTTGAGCACTGCAAACCATGGTCTAGGCAATCCAGAAGGCCGTGCGCTTTCTCCTGACCGAGAAATGCACAGAAGCATGCTCAGATCAAGCTTGGGGTGGGGGATGGTTTTCTCTTCGTGGCTTGAAATGTCTGGATTCAGCGTTCTCTCGGGTCAAGATCAGGATTTGGAGCCTCGATCGGAAAATTATGAACCAAACCGTCTGAGGATGGTTTTCCGTTGAGCGAGCTCATTGAAAAGCTGGAGATGGTCAATGCGCAGCCCTCAGCACTCTTTGCGGTAGGCCGCCTATGCCTTGCTTGTCTGCTTTCAATCTTTCAGCATTCGCATGACCTTCTGGCTGAGAGTTGTGCTGCAGTCTTCGCATGTTCAACTGCTGCAGGTTCGAGGCTTTGCGCCTGAGAAACTTGGCTTCTGCCTCAGGCTGTTGGGTCTCCAGCTTCATATCTTTCATCCTGATCCACTTCATGTGCCAGTGTACTTGCCATGCCGCGATCGCCCTTGCTCCCAGGGTTCAAGGGTACAGCCCCGAACTCCACGCATGGCATGCTTTCTATTGAAGGAGTGGGCGCAGCTGCGGCAGGGCCTTAAGCGAGCAGTGAAGAGGGTCCTCCAAGATTTCAGTTTGATCCTACTGGCCACTTGCGTTGAATTTGGACAATGCCCTTGAAAGGTGGCAAGGTTGGATCGTTTGCTTACTTAAGTGTCCACCTGCTGTTTCTGCTCAGGCTACAAAACTACAGAGAAGTTTGTCCGCCGCCAGCCTGAAGCTGTTCTGAGATATCGGAAGCAGGATCAGATGATCCTCCCACCACGCAAACGGTGACGAGCGCACGGGCACGTCAGCGCAAAAAAAGGAGCGCACACGAGCATGCGATTGACCGTGTTTGGCAAGTGATGTGTCCTTATGATGGAAATGATCGCTAGTTCATATTTTCCTTCCGCGGGTCATGTTGACACAGTTGTCATGACTGCGTGGTGCCGACAGCCATGCCACTCTAGAGTTTTTTCCCCAAGGAAGCCAACCTTTCTCAGAACTTATCGTTAAGTGATGATTCGAGCGAATTAGCCCCAGCAAGCCTGAGATGCAAATGGTGGGGGGTCAGCCTTAGTCAGCCACATGCAGATGTAGTGACTGCGCGACCTGCTCCGATGGCACAGAACTACTATGACATCTTGGGAATTACACGAGATGCAACAGCAGAGGCTGTTGCCTGCAGTGGCACAAAGGGATGCTTGCTTTGCTTGCTGCTGATACTGCCAGGAAGTCAAGAAGGCCTACAAAAAAGCTGCGCTGACCCATCACCCTGACAAGGCGATAAAAAGGTTATGCAGCTATGCGGGTCTCCAGAGCCTAAGTGTCACCTCAGGGTGGGGATCCTGAAAAATTCAAAGAATGCGGGGCCGCTGTCGAGACGCTCACGGATGACAGGCTGGCGCACGTCAACTGCAAAGGGTTGGAACTAGAAATCATGTATGAGGAAGCGAGCCGCCTACGACTCAACATTGATCCGTCTCCGTTCCAAAGATGGATTGGGAAGTGGTGCCCTAGATCATGCTTTTATGCCTTTCGTGCACTGCAGTTGGCATTGTGTGGCAAGGGACCATCTATGCGTCAACGCATGTAGGCCCATTTCGCTTCAACCGTGATGCCTCCATGGAGCGTCCTCCCGCTCCACCTCCACCGAGAGCATCTGCCGGCACAGGTCTTGCTATTCTTCACAGACTGTCATGAGCCATTTGCAAATGCAAGCTGAGGGGCATCTTCAACCCGCACACCCAGTACTGCAGCCCCGCCAAAACCGCGAGCTGCCGGTGGTGCTGTGGAAATTCCATCTGATCCAGGTGCGGATTGCAGCAGTTTTTTTTGTTATTTTATACTTTCGCCATGGCTCATACCGTTTCTTTCTGAGGCAGCCTTTCCATCAAGGAGCTCAAGGAATTGTTGACTGCCCTCGGCATCGACCATGAGGGCTGCCTGGAAAAGGCACCAGAGCAAAGTTCAATACAATATTTGCATCGCCTCGCATGAATATCAGGCAGACCTGCTGGCATTACTTCGGGACCGGAAGGACTCCGCAAAACACAACAGAGTTTTGCAGTGACAACAAGAAGCGTGCTCACTGGCGGGCTGTCTGTCAAGCAAACTCACCATGAACGCCTGACAGGAACGGCGAGCAGGCAGGTTTCTTCCGAGGGTTCGCAGCCCGAAATCTCATATTGAGTGGGTGACAGGTGACACACCCAGGGAGGCATCTTCTGCATCTGGTTCTGCGAAACCAACTGCGCCACGTCAAAATGCAGTCGGCTGCATTCCACATGTGGCAGGTGCAAGTACCATAGTGGCAACATGAGAAAATGTGATGAGGCCCACACGACAAGTTCCTCTCAATCGTCTACCGGTGCGAAAGCCTTGCGAGTGAAGATCATGTCCATAGGCCATGCAGCGAAGTAGTCCATGCATGCTTGCGGACGGTATTTTTTGCTTTCAAAAACGCTGGAAGTCTTGAGACAAGCCAGCTGGTCATATTTGCATTACCAGTAGCTCTAATTGACTCATTGCTGATTTTGTCTGGCTGGGTGGTGCTTCGGGTGGTTGCTAGAAATCCGAGAGTTCTCAAGATGTTAGAATATGAAAGCAACGAGCATACAAGAAGAAAGCAGAGAGGAAACACAGAAAGCCGAGCAGGAAATGAAGCAAGGAGCTAAGGAAATGTGCCTATGACATCTTATGACCATGAATGACTGCCGCAGTTCTTTATGGCTGAAACATCATCAGTTCCATTCCTTGTTCTTTTCAGTAAAATGTTCAGCTGAACGCACCATTTGCACAGTAGTACATATTGCTGCTATGATTGCCTCTCTTGTTGTCGTAAGTGGTGTCCATGCTGTGATGATGACCCTTTAGATGACATTATTGCGGAGGCGCCGCGCCTTCCTTTTGAACCACAGCTGATGTTGGTATGGCAGGCATTGCTCGTTTCATCAGAACCGTTAACAAGAATAAGTTTGAGTTGTTGATTTCCTAGTCATTGTGCTCTAAAGTGGCTGTAAGTGCTTTTCGTGACCTGGTTGGTCGGACTTCAGGATGGTTGGCACACTATAGAGAGCTGCTTTTGCCTGTGCCATGTTCTTAGTACACTTGTGCCAGTGTACGCGCAGCTTTGTTCCATTCATCCGAATAAGTTGGAGCAGTTGTTGTTGTTGTTGTTGTTAGTCACAGTGGCTCTACCATCATAAGCTGCCTAGGCCAGTTTGCATCGCAGCTAAGCGGGACAACTGGCAGCATACAAACAAGATCACAGTGTTTTTCCCACACTGATTTGTAGGTTTTCGTAGGCTTGTCTAAGGAAACCTCACAGAATGACAAGTTGTCTACAAAAATGTGGCAGGAACAAACTGTAAGCAGCAAGCCAGCAAAATTGATGTTCTCATCCCTGTGTCGGTGCCAAGCTGTGAACAGCAGCAAGTCCGAATCAAGGAAAATTGCGAATCTGATTCGCCACGAGGGCCGTGATTACTTTGTAGTTCTTGTGCTCAACGTACTGGTACTTGCTTGTTTGTGCAGGCTCTGCGACGGTGGGAAAGAGTACACTGATCAAGAGATACTGTGAAAATCGCTTCGTCCAGAAGTACATTCCAACGATCGGAATTGACTATGGTGTGAAGCCCGTACGAGTTTTGGGTCACGAGCTCAAGGTCAATTTCTTCGATACTTCAGGAGACTGCTCATCATGAAGGGGATTTCAAACCCAGCTGGAGAGATTGAAAGAAGAAACCGGACAGCTGGGAGATTGCAGAGCATGCAGAGCTTTTAGAATATTGTTTGTCAAGTCAATAGGCATGAGTTTTGGGAAGTAAGCTTAAGCGCTACAGCAAGGAGAGAATGGTGAGCGCAAGTACGTAGTTGCAGAAAGCATTGGTCAATCAATCCCCCTGCTTCCTAGACAGTATTTCATTCTCACGCGGGTTCACGGGAAAGCTTAGCATTCAGATCTTCCTGTCTTGAGACGGAGCTTTCGGCATAGATGGCTAAGGCGCTCACGCTCTCGAGTTTGTGAACTGCTGTCATCCACACCTCTGCTGAAAACAGTCAGCTCGAAGAAACCACTTTCCACTGATCCTTCTGAGCTCAATCTTTGAGACAGGAGGAGACGAGTTCCGGGAGATTCGAACAGAGTTTTATTCCATGGGCCAGTCGAACGACTCTTGCATTTGTTCAAATGGGTGTACACTGCGAAGCCTTCAGCTGCGTGAGTCAAGAGGCTAGGACTCTAAGGCTGTGCTCCTGGTCTTTGATGTAACAAACCGGAAGAGCTTCACTGATCTTCCTGCCTGGCTGGAGGACTCCAGCAACCCGGCAAGTGATGTTCTTGTCAGCCTAGCTGGCTCACGCATTGTGAGGAGGCTAGTCGTCACCATTGTTCCCTGTCGCTAGCTTGGGCTCCGTTGTGCTTGCACTTGCACGAGTAAGTCAGGCACATGCGTTTGATTTTCTTCTACCTGCCAAAAACCAGGTCCCGGGCGGACAAGACTGCCCAAGGACCTCCAGCTGTGGCGCTGTGTGCGAACAAGGCGGGGTGGAATTCGCATGAGTTTTTTCAGATATCCTTATGCGAATGACGTTTTCAAGGGAAGAGTCAGGTGGTATCAAGTGTTGTGTAGTTTGTTAGTGCTGGTCGCGAGCGCGATGGGCCAGCTTCAGCATCAATACCATCCCTTCTAACTGGGAACATACAGCACATTTAGAAACACTACAGGCAATTAGTGCTTGCATCATGGAAGGTGGGATGTTTTAACACGAAAATACAGTCGTCCTTCATGTACGGTTGCCCTCGTTCTTCAGCTGTTGTTGACTCAATGTTTTTCTCCTTTTGCTTTCTGCTTGCTTTTTGCGTGCTGCATTGCAAACGCATCAAAACTTGCGCCAGCCTTAAATCTCATTTACAACATCAGAAGGCCTTCAAATGAGAAGGCTTTCACATCCAAACAGCACCTCCAAAGTTTGTGGCATGCTACAAAATCATTCGGAAAGCCTTCAAAAATTGTGAGCTTCTTCGAATGATACAGGGACCAACTGAACAAAACGTACACAAACACGCGCCACACAACTTGGCCTCGTCTGGAAACTTCAACACTGAGGGCCCAGGGCTGCAGTGCAACCGGATGTTTTTTTCCATTCGATCCTGCTTGTGTTTGCTTTCGGACTGTTGCCTGGGCCAACTCAGGTTGACCTTGGAAGAAGAGTGGTAACGAGGGCGGAGGGGGAGGAATTTGCAACCTCGCACGGCATGCGCTACTTTGAGACCTCTGCGGCCACTGGTGATGCTGTCACTGATGCGATGACTTTTCTCTTTGAGCAAGCTGTGCCGCTTGCATGACATGGCCGGCATGCAATCGCAGAATAGGGTTCTTGCAGGAGACTTTTTTCGAGTTCGTATATTGAACGCCAAATTGTCATGTCTATCTCATGGCTGCAGACCATAACGTAAGTGTTCGTTGTGCAGGAGCATCTTGTTGCCTGTCCAAGGAGCCACCACTTGGAGCTCGGTAGAAAGATGCCTGGTCAAGCTTACTCTGTATTGACAATCTTGAAGTGCTTCTGTGTGCATTTGCCTCATCTGAGATGTGCCGCAAGCCTGCTGCAAGGATAGCCATGGCTGCTGGCTAAGTGGCATCAGTCACCTCTACCCATGTATTTTGAGGGCTTCTGTGAAAGGGTAAATCTGGAGCTTGCGTAGCAACAGCTTGTAAAGCACTGCATGTTAATGTACGGCTGACTGATCAACATGATCACTGGTCAGCTTTGGTTTCACACCCGTGACCTGCGCCGTGATGCATGTCGGATTAAAAAGTGGCTGGTGAACTTCGTAGTGTAGGAGCGGTGGCAGGGGCATGGCAATGGACACGCATAAGCACATTTGCTCAAACTTGGCTTGCAAATGCTTGTGTGGCCCAGAGTCTCCAACTCTTCTGCTGCGTCCACCTGCCTTCAGAAGACCGCCTAGGGCCCAGCCCTCTCCATTTGTGATACATCTGTTTCTTTAGACATGGGCAGATGGTTCTTGTTGTTTTCTTGTGGTGGGTTGTGGTTGTTCAGCAAGGTGCTGAGCTTCATCATGGCCGGCCGAGGAGCTTCAAAGCTTCTCCTGATTGCGATGGCAGGCATCATGCACCATATGTGGTTCAGGGTTTGCTGGGGTGGGTTTCGAAGCTTCAGCCTGCAACAAATTGCACGCACCAAGTGGCTTGAAAGTAGGTTGCAAGCAAGCAGCCTGCTCAGCCTGCTCAGCCAGCATGGTATTGGTACTTTTTTCTGAGAGTTCTTTGGGCTCAAGATGGCTCAAGGATCTTGCTGAGTTTGTTTGGACTGAGCCGGGACTTCTGGAGGGGTGAAGCTATCCGAGTGCAATGTGTCTGGTTTTTTCGCGTAGTGATGCATAATTTCCAATTGAATCTGGTCTGGTACGACGAGCGAGGAAGCTGAGGCAGCGGTTGCCGATTGCGAGGCCATGCGCAAGATTCAGGACGACATTCAGCTGGAGGCGTTTGCAGATACACTAAGTCACTACAGTCTTTCTAGGTTCTCAGTGAAATCTTTGCCCTGCCGTCGAAGTTTAGCAGTGCGCCCAGTTCAGCCAGCTAGAAGAAGATCAAGGCAGCGCCGGGACTTGGACTAGATGCCCTTTGAAGCTTGCCTTCGTCAGGGCGTGCAAAGCGTGAAGATATTTTCCAAGCAGTCGCTTGAGATTACCGCACGGGCTTTGATGGAAACAGCCCACTGTAGCCTTTGAAGACTTGGCGTTACGCCGTCCGGAATGATTGGACCGGATCTTGTGCGAAGGAGGGTCAGCATGGTCGGCCTAGTTGCACAGAAGTGAACAGTTTGGGGTGCAGTGGCATTTGAGTAGCTGAAACGCGCAAGTCTGGCTGAGTGAGAACAGGGTTTGACACTTCGTGTGACCTCAGCCGCTCGAAAAAATGGGCGTGGACTCAGATACGTAATTCATGCCAGGCCCAAGAATGGGTTCGACATGCAGACTCACTCGACTGGGTGGGGCTGGAAACCTGATCACCAAAGATGCAAGCGTAGTTCCAGGGCACCACTGGGCTCGTAAAGGGTGTGTACTCCAGTGTGTGGGTGTGTGTGTTGTGTAAAAAAGCTGCAGGTACTTGATTCAGGTGTTTGGAACTTGCACAGATTTTGAGACGTGGAGCATTTGTATGTTTATGCTGGGGCTGGCAATCCTTCTCAAGCATGATTGAGGGGACGACTTGGTGTGAATTTGCCTTATTATACCTAAGAAGTATCAACATTTTAACCTCCGAACATGAAGACAGAGCTGGCGGGGGCAACCTCAATGGAGTCTCTTATCATGTAGGACCTTTTACCGATGACGTTCAAAGGTTAAGTACAACACAGGCAAGCAGACTGGGCACAAGCGCCGCAGGGGTTGCTGCCCACCCTACTTTTTGAAGGACAAACGAAGGACGTACACGTTTGATGAACATTAGTTTGTTCGTTTGGAGCCAAGTTCTTTGCCAGGCATCTTGGTGCAGATGCTTTCCACTACCGTGTTCGTGCAGCCTGGAGCAGGATTTGACATATCTGCGTAGTAGATGTCAGCCCAGCGCAAGCTGCACTTTGGCTCATAAGCTAAGTACTAGTTTGTTTTTTAAGGAGCTTTTGCCCTGATTGCTGGGAAGGATCACCGTTGCTTACTCATGGTGCTGGTGGTGTATTCCTGCTGGTGGTAGTGGTGGTGGTGGCAGCAGGTGGTGGTGGTGGCGGCGGCGGCGGTGGGTGGTGGTGGCGGTGGCGGCGTGTTGCCGGTGTCGCCTCGCTATTGGTTTTGGTGTTTTGGCAGTGCTGCTGCTGGCGAGAATGGCTGGCGTCCGTGCAAAATGCTTTTCAGATTGGTGCACAGCATCTGCTTGAGTCTAGCTTCCAGTGACGCAAAGCAAGATCTACATTCTTGCGCTGATCAGGCACTAGAGCTTTGGCTTTCAGCTTCTTTTTCTTTTACCATCATGCCGTACAAATGCGTCTGCAGGAAGTCAGCAGGCATCACGAACCCAGCGCTTGGCTTTTGAGCAGGGGAAGGTGAACTTGGGCATGGATGGAGCTGCAGCATGCTGAGTTGTGGCTGCTTATCTAGATCACTTCGGGGTGTTGATCTGCTCAAACCATACCTGAGGTGGTGAAGTCCAAGAACATGCCAGCACCTGTTCTGGAGGCGACTGAGGCCACGAACGCAGCCATCAAGGACTCAGCACGCCTGAAGAACGAAACCTTGGTGCACGATTTTTCTGTTGCAGGACTGCTTGGAGGAAGGATGTTCTGTGGAAGCTCTGATGGAGTTGGACAAGAAGCTGGCGAAAGATGAGGAGCTACACCTTCCTGTGCTTTTGAGTAGAGATGGATGCTATAGTCCTGCATGACCAGGCTACTATCAAGAAGAGCCTTGACACATTGCACAGCTCGCAAGCTGAAGAGTATTCAGAGGACAGGTGTAGGCCTTTCGTCCGTGCTCCAACCCTGGGATTATCTTCTGTCAAATGGAAGGAGAGCAAAGAACAGATTGCGTGGTTGAGCCGCTTGCTGGCGATGCCAAGTGCAGCTTGGACAGTTCCAGGCCTACCTGCGTCGGATGTGATTCCAAGGCAACTATTTGGACCGAAGCGGAAGCCTTCGTGCCCAGCTCCAGGCAGCTTAGCCTGCAGCAGGCAGTCGTGCTTTCGAGACAAGCCGCCAGAGGCACACAGCTTTGAGATGTGGGCTAAGTGGTAACGGCAGCAGCAGGCTAAGTAGCTGTAATCGTTGTCATGAAGAAGGAAATAGGGTTGTAGTGATGGTGGCGGCGGTATGGTGGTCACCTTATCTCTTCATACAACGGAAGCTGCGCCGAAACAGAGGAAGAAACTATTCTCATGCTTGTTGTTTCGCTCCGGCTTTCCACAAGGTGGATTTTCAGAAAACTCTCGTTAACTGGGATCCTAAAATGTAGGTCTCAGCAAAATGTCCGAAATCTGAATGATGCACTGATCTCGAAGGAGAGCGTATACATTGCAGCGCGTCACCGCGCCTGCCAGTGTGCTATGCCAATGTTTCGCTGTAAATTCCTAAGGCAGTGAAGACATTGAAGGCTGAAGGAGACTTGGCTGCCCAGCTCGTGCGTGCTGCGTCGGTGGCATTCGGTGGTGGACGAAAGGGTGATTACCCAAAGGCCTCGGCAATTGCTTTTGCCTCGAGTGCAGCGGAATTGATGTGTCACTACAACGGGAACCTGGGTTGCTGACCGTGTGCAGGTGGGCGTGTCTCCATACACTTCGTGAAGATCTCAGGCGTTGAGTGACCGCAGCCGCATTTTTGACAGCGGTGGAGGAAGTTTTGGCAAAACTATGAGAACCAGCCAAATTGCTGTTGTCCACAAGAACTTGCAGCCGCATGTCATTCTCAAAGTGCCAAATGAAGATACGATTGCTTTTCTAGAAAACCTCCTCTCCGCATGCCTACGTAGATGAGAGGACCTTCTGCCATGTGCTGGCACGCCCTGTTTGGAAGTCATTTGATTTCAACGTACTGTTCGCCAGCCGCGTGAGCATGCAGGGGTGTTGCAGACCAAGTCTTGCTTTTGTGTTTGACAGCATGTCATAATAGTGCTTCGTTGCGCAAGCTTGGGCTGCTCACAATTTCTTTCTTGATTTACCTCTAGCCAAGTCACCGCAAGAAATAGCCTGGCCTTGTTGGCTTAAATCAGTGGCAGGACGTGAATTTTTGTGCAGTGGTTGGTGCTAGTAGTCTTTCTTTGACACTGCGTTGCCAGCGTGGTTCAGCAAAGCAATTTATGGAGTTGAGCCTCTTGCTACTTGCGCGTGGCTGAGACCTGCGCAGAGCTTTTGAATCATCATGGGCCCAACCGCATGAAAGCTGAGGCCAGAGGAAGATGGCATCCAGGCGTGTGCGCTTGCTGCTGCCGCTAGCAGTTGCAGGTGGGACCAAGCTGACCAGAAGTTTTGTTGACGCCCTGCTAGCAAGCTGCACAATGGTGTGCAGCCTCCTTGCATAATCCTTGAGAGGAAGCTTATGGGGGTTCATGTGCTGCAAAACTTCAGTGTCCACACGGCCTTTGCAGTCCAGCAGAAGCCAAGCTTGACCAAGCCAAAGCTCCAGACCTTCCACTCAGTGATATCTTCGAAGTGGGTGAGAGGGGGGGGGGGCAGGGCGGAACTGCAGGCGGCTCGCTCATGGGAGTTGGCTGCTGTGCAGCTATTTGCGGCCAAAATCGTTACAAGTAACAGTCCACATCCATCAGGATAGCTTTGCGTCAGCACCTGCAAATTTCCGATGCAAATGGCCGGAGGTGCTTGGTTTGGCTTGTTAGATGCGTGAAGGACGGTCATTTGCTCGGCTTTCGTTAAGGATCGTATCCGTGCCGAATTTGTGTTGAACGAAGATGTGAAGACTCGAGCTTTGGAGCGACGATGCGAGACGTGAAGACGCGAATCTTGGAACGATGGCGCGCCTGAGTGTCTGTGTGTAGCACGGTTTCGCCCTTACCGTCACACGGCTTGCCCTCAGTACGGTCTCAAAAAATGACGCGAAGACGTGAAGTCGCAAACCTCTCCCTGAGGCCAAGACGGGAAGACGCGCACTCTGTCAACGTCACGTCAACGGCGTCAATCACTTCCATCGCTGATATCGGAACTAGCCCAAGGTCTAAGCCTCAACCCCCGACTGGTTGCACTAAGGATCATCGCCGCCTTCTGGGGAAACCAGGTTTAAAACCGAATTGAAGATGGTATCCTTTCAGGGCCTAGCATTAACAGCACTCAGATGTTCACAAAACGCGTGGACTTTGCCTCCGAAGAGAGACAGTCTGCTGTTTGTTCTTCTTGGGCCTTCATACAGTGGAGCAGGGACCCTGTGCAGAAAGCAAGGCGTTTAGAGTTGGCAAGAGAATGTTGCTGCTTCCATCGGGGCCTTGTCTTCCTCCAGCTATGGTCTGAGGTGTCTTTTGTCAGCTGATTGGTTCTTTGCGCAACGATAGGGTGCTCAGAGGCTCGCGGGCTACCAACAGCATTTGAATGCATCGCACCCGACTTGCTCAGAGGCACCGTCGTGGGATCACCATCGGTATCATTTGCCTTTCCCAGGCCTGCAACTCTTTTTATGCCTCAGCTTGGTGTTTGCCGTTTGGCAGAAGCTCTAGGGCGAATCCTGGGGGTGCTGCAGAGAAGATGCGACTAGCCAAGTATGAGACAGCCGGGCCCCTGTTTCCAGGATGCTGGGTTTGCTCGTTTTGTTGGCATGTTCAGACCAGGCAGATGCAGATGGCAATCCGGTCAACGCCCTGCTGCTTGATGGCAAGCAGCAAGCTCTTAGCCAGTGGGTGGGGAGTCAGAAATACAGGACACCATCTGCTTTGCATTTGGTTTTGATCTGGTTAGAACTGACAATATTATGCCCCTGTAAACGTCGAGACAGCAGGCTCGTATCAAGTAGTCAAGAGGCACCAGACTCACTTAGCCATGGTTTTTGAAGATCAAAGCCTGGCCCCAACAACGCCCAGATTGGCATTCCTGAGAGCCAGAGCCGCTGCAGATTCCATGATCTAGTATCCAGATGTTATGCGTGTTGCGTTTGTCAACTTTCAAATCCTGAGCATTGCTAGAGGCTGAAGCCACAAAAAGATGGCGATGAGGAAGAAAGCCTTGAGGAAACGACAGAAGAGAAAGTCAAAGCATATGGAGTGGCTTGAATGGAGATGGGGATGTTTCTGCCTTGCCTACAGTACTAAAGCCCTGCGCTTGCTTGCGCAATGCACCAGCCTGCTCAGATACTGACATCCTACGCCTTGCTCTTCCTGCCGCTGGGATGAAGTCCCAAACCCTAAAGAATGACAGAATTGGACTTAGGGCTCGTTATTTTGGCATGCGAAAAACAGACTTCTAGTCCTTCATGAGCATTGTTGGGAGCCTTGTCTCTGCTGATGGCTTGATTTACGTTCCGTGAAGTGCAGAGACTTCGGCAGAAGTCCGTTTGCTTCTAGGATTCCTTTGACAGTCTTCGCGGCAGTTTTGCTCGGCATTTGGACCCCTGGCACAGACCTTGACATAGGAGTGGGAGCCTGAGTTGCGGCGCCGACCTGTTTCCACCTCGACCAGCACCGGTACCTGCTGCGATTGCCTTGGAAGGCTTCAAAGAATTCGCCTTACCGCAGCATGGGTGCTATCTCTCGATTTGATGAAGCCATGGACCAACAAAGGCAATGGCAGTGTTAGGGCTCGTGTGCCGACTTGTCTACTTTTGCTTCATGTCGTTCTCCCGTCCCACCAGGAGAGACTATGAAAATCGCGGTGAAAGGGAGTACTGAGATGTGAAAGCAGATGTTTCCCCTAGCCAAATCTGGCTAGACAGGCCTGATGGTCCCTCAGTTCACTGCAGTCCAGTACCTGAGTGTTTAAGTGAATGAAACTCCTCCACTCACATTGCTTCCTTCGATTGCAGCATTTTCGGGAAGCCACGTCCGCAGTCAATCAAAACTAAGCTTAAGCGCGCGGCATGTGCCAAGTCTTGCGCTTTTTGCAGATTTGCAATGAGGCCGCTGAAATCATGGATGTGCATGCCCGAACTGTTTAAGCCCAATTCTGCTTGCTCCACCTCCGCTATCCTCGTGGAGCTGACTCTGCAGCATTGGGTGACATGGGCAGCGCAACGACGCCTCGCGTTTCACAGAAAAGACCGCCTGCTTTGTGTAGCAAGATCGCTGTGTGCTTTGTGTTCTTGCAGACTTTTGCTTGCACCTCCATGTCTGTGAGTGTGGCTGGAAGACTCATCGCCCAACATCATGATACCAAAAGCAGATCATAACTCTTTTGACAGTCCAGCTCACGGAGAAAGGCTCCATTTCACGTAGCCGTCTGGCTTCATGGAAACATGTGCCGCTTGTGGGGCTCCTGCGGAAGTGGCTTGCGACAAATGCGGCGCTTTGGCTTTCTGCACCGAAGATTGTGTAGAGCAAGGCCGTGTGCAGCATCAGGACTTGTGCATGCACACGGCATTCACCCATGCTTGACCTCTACCTTGCTACCAATGCCAACGCAGGACGAGTGCAGGCAAATCCGCAAACTTGCGAGGGAGCGGGTTGGAAAGATGTATTTCGGGAAGCTCATGCTTCTTGTCTTGGCCAAAAAAGGGGATCTGCAGGAGTCTAGTCAGTACAGTATTTCTGCTTTTTGTTCTAAATGCAATTGATTCTCTTTTAATGCTCACGCTGGGCTCTTTTGGCCGCTGGGCTAGAAAGCGGCTAGACCAAGAAATTGAAGGCTTCGCATCGGATCAGTGTGGCGCCGTTGCCGCCGACTGCCTGCTTGGCAGCGCTTTCTGCTGCTCCTTGACTTTTTTGGTTGTAAAGCTCCATGTAGTCCGAGTCTTAAAATTGTTTTGATTTCAAGCGGAATGTACGGTTGTACACATGTACGAGTTACCAAAGTGCGCCCCAGACTGCGGTGAGCGCAAGCTTATGCGTGCCCTGCTTTATAGCAGAGACCTTCGTGAGGTGGTGCCTGGCTTGGTTGGTCCTTTTGCAAGCCGTGGACGCTGGAAGGTCCGAATTTGTATACTTCATGAGCTTTATTTGCAGCAAACAGGTGGCCTACTTGAAGGATGATTTGCTTGCAGCATGAATCTATGCAAAATTTAATTACCTCACCTGACCTCATTTGAAATGGTGACGTATATAGAAAGTGGTCGCACATTTTGATGGGTTTCAGATTCTGGAAATGTCCTAAATAGCCGGGTAAAATGCCGTGTTCTGTGTTCAGTAGGAAGGCGAGTCCATTTTTGCTTATGAGGTGCGAGGTGCCTGACTGGGGACTGGCACCTTGCCGTTGCGAGACAAGCATCCCTCGCATATATTTACAAAGGGCTGTCGGCTGTGGGCGAGGGCGTTTGCACTAAAATGTGCCAGTCAGGCCTTGAAAGGCAGCTGCAACTGGAGCTGAAGAACTGGAGCACAAATGTCGGGTATGACGGAGCAGACACACTCAAACAGGAAATGAGAATCCACACCTGCAAAATGTTGCGAATTTGAAATGAGCCCAGACAAAACAAATGTGAGCGCATCGTTATAGCCTTGGCTTCGAACTCAAACCGCTTCACAAAGTTGGTGGTTTCTGATGGGAAGCGGGCCATCTCCTGACTTGCATTTTTTTCAAAAGTCTTCTCTGGTTCCCGTGTGCCATGTGCGATGCAGGCGTCATAGGATCTGACAGGCCGAGCTGGTCTTCAGCTTTCGCAGCCGAAAGCGTCGCAAGCAAGATAAAGGCCAGAAGATGCGACCGGTGCGATGTTGTCTGTTCAATCTGGCGCGGAAAGATTCCAAGCTGCACAGCCTTCGCAGGCTGATGTCTCCGAGCCGACCGCTGCGCTGCAGAAGAATGCAGCTGCTGCTTATCTGTTCCAATAGCAGTGAATCCGCATGAGCAGCTTTTATTTTACTTCCTGCGCGAGCACAGGAGCCTCAGGCTGAGCATCAGGCTGAGCAGGATCAGGACCAACCTGAAACGCCTGAAAAGCATAAGGAGGATGAAGATGTTGACGGAGAAGACGAGGACTGCGGAGTCCCCTCTGGCTTGGCTTCTATAAAGCCAGATCTGCAAACCACATACATGCGGCGCTGGCTCTTGCCTCGTTTCTAGAGGTTTCTAGAAATCGCATGGAAGCAACAGTACATGTACCCCGTTTAGTGTTCATGCTATGTGAGAAATTCTAGAGCCACAGTCCTCATTACTTTGGTCATCATATGCCGCTGCGGAAGGATGGAAGTGACGAAGAGGATGAGGAAGAGGCAGACAAAGTAAATGGAATTGAAGAAAATGAAGAAGAGGAGGACTGTTGAGTCTGCTACTCAATGTAGTCCACAGACCAGATGTTTTGCAATCGTGTGCCTGTGTTAGAAGAAGAAGCGGCACCCCTCGATTTTCTCCGTCCAAAACAGGTGTGAAAAAGCTTTAGCAGGCTCGCAGAGATATCAGGTCGTGCAGCAATGAGGATGGGGTCTAAGTCCACAATGCAGCGCGGAGGGCAAGGAAAGGTCATTAAGAAAAGAAACGTGTCTGACGCACAGTGAAGCAAGACGTTGAAGACCCTGCAAGCTTGGCAGCGTACCTGACTTGTTTGCGCTATAGACATGACAGGAAGAAACATGCCTGCTGGATCTTGATGTCACATGCCCGCTGGCTTGCAACGTGTCCTTGCTGGAGCCCAATTGTACAGGATGTGCGTGAGCCGGGGTAAAGCAGACTACATTCTTCTGAGCCCAGTCCTGTGTCACAGCATTGTTTTCCAGTCGTTGAATCAAGGTTTGAGTGTAACATTTTAATCTGTGCGAGTTGTGAAGAATTTTGGTTTCAGGCTCTCGCTAACGATCTCGACTGATTTGAACAGGATGAAGACGAATCGGAAGAAGATGAAGAGAAGGTGTTGAGCTATAGCCAGACTGCAGAGGCAGCTCGCTCCTCCGGTGAGGCAGGGTGCAGTGGGTGAAAGCCAGTTGACTGCTGTCCTTCTCATTAGACGCGCTGGCTGCGCAGGAGAGCCCTGCTTTGCCTCAAGTCCTGCCGGCCCAGGACGTAAATGCATACTGCTGAGCATGTGGCGTTTTTTCCAGACTGCGCGCAGAGGATGTCCAAATTACAAGACCGCTGCCAACAGCTTCTGTTGAAGAGGACGTGTTGAAGGAAAGTTGCATGTGCTCCTTGTTGTCCCATCTGCAAGGCAGGCATGTGTTCACAGCCGACAAACTCATCGACTGATGCGCGGCTTTCATGTGTGCTGCTTGCGCGTTGTGGCCACTGGTCTAGGTGTTCCCTGTCAGGCTTGCTGCCGCGCAGCTGTGATGCGGATGCACTATGTCGCGCATTCCAGGAGAGTCTGATGAGTCTGCTGCTGGCTTGTTGCTGTCTGCGCATGCGAGCATTGACCGAACACTGTGTGTGGGGGCACCCCATTTTGCAAAGGCTTGGGAGGTGACGCTGGCAGCACAGTTTTGCAATCAAGGCGATTTCGCTTATACAAAATAAGCTACATCGATGTGCCTCAACCACAACAAGAAGAAGTGGGCCTCATCAGCTCACAGCTTCAGCATGCGAGCTCCGAAAAAATAATTTGCTGTCTGAGTTTGCTAGGAGCACATTCTTGCAATCTCCGACAGAGCCCGTGAATGTGCGGAACTGGTGGTCGCACCTGGCACCTTCTACTGCAAGGCGGGGTCGTGCTGACCACTGTGCTGCTGCCTGCGCTTGTCTGCGAAGGCGGCTTCTTCGGGACAGAAGGGATTGAGTGGGAGATGCACTGATGTCACATGTACTGGTATGCACTTGACAATTGAGAGGAACCCTGCTTTTCAAGGCGGCCTATGCAAAACAGCCATGAAGTCATCATGCCCCATGCAGCAAATTTGCAATACCAGGTCCTCACAGACCCGATGTCCGGCCATCAGTCTCGCTTTGTCGTGTTCGTCATGGTGCACCTTTCTAGCCTTGCCAGCTGTGCTCCAGCCACGAATGAAAATTCTCTTGGGTGCTTCTGGCGAAGAGGTGGTACCAGCAGCGGGCTCAAGACGAGGGCGCTGGCCAGAGGTGGAGCGGCATCGCAGTCCTGCTGCTCGGACAGGCACGGCAGGGTTGGTCTCTCACCAACAGGTTCTCACCTTCACAAGAAGGGGCTGGATTCCTGTATGTCTCACTGATTCGCTGATATGTGCTTTTGGTATGGCTATGGCAGTCGTTTTGTGTGGTCTTTGCCGTTACTTGATGCCAATCAGTCAACTGAAAGCAGTCACCAAGTAGTACAGAATATGATTTCGGGTAAACTATTGAAGTTGCACATTCGTCATTTGTTGCTGCAGCGCAAATGGAACTACTTCAGGCATTTACTGCGTAGACAGCCTGGTCATTTTGCACGTGTGGCCCGCTTTGCGTGCATCGTGGACTTCACCCAAAGCCGTAAGGGTCCGTGGAATATACATCTAACGTGGCTGCATTATATATCTGCTCAATTTTTCCAGGAAGAGTTGCCTCCTTTGCTTCCAACATAATGGCACAATGTCAATGCTGTATTGTCTCAGCTGGCCTCTGATCGCGGGAGTTGGCATGATGCAAGGACTCATCTACTGAATTTGCTCTCTGCCACGTATGCGTATACACACCTTAGTCTACATGGAGAAAGCCGTTTCAGTTGAACATTCCTTGGATTCAACATGTGTGCATCAGTAGGAGATGTTCTCCGGGCATTGTCGGGAAGTATTACGCAATGTGGGTCAATCCTGAACATGGTTTCATGCAATGGCCTTTGGGCTCAGCATTGATGGTGAGTCTCGCGATGAGCTTGTGCAGTGCCTTCTCGTGCTGTGATCGTTCTTATGCCTCGTAGTCATGGTTGGGGAGTCAAGCTGTGAGGGGTATTTGCCAGAGCTAAATTCTTGGAGGGCTGCGCAATTGAAGTCTAAACTTGATGTTGTCAACGCTCACATGGTTTTTGTGTTCTATGAGATAATTCCTGAGACTTGGCTTCGGAAAATCTGGAGAATGAGCCAGTAGTGCTCATGATCGGGATGCTTGAGCTAGCGTTCTGGTGCCTGAACAAGTCCAGCAGCAAAAAGTATGGCACAGGATTTAATCATGCGCTTTGCGCATCCTTGTGTCTTCAAGTTCGTAGTGCTGGATGTTATGGGTACAAGCTGATGATGTTCGCATGTGAGAGCTTGACCTGGCCTTGCTTCTCTAGACCCTAACCAGGTGTGGCAGGCGCTTCGGCTTCGAGGTGTGCACGTCAGCTGTGCAAGTTTTGCAAGTGGTTTCACCTAGACCACAACTCACGACCTTAAGGGTGTGAGTTAAGAGCAATGTCGGGCCAGTCGCTTACTCCGAGCGAACAGTTGAACCTGACGAGGGTGCAGACCACACCTCACCAGGCTACTCAGCAGTTGTTTTGGCGCCAGCAGAACAACAAGCGTGGAGCCCCGACACCGGTCGGCAGTACGAGCAACACTCCGGCAGAACCGGCCCAGGACATGGAGATGGAAGGAGCTGACCACAACGCAACCGCAAGTGGTAGCTCGCTGGTACAGCCGTTTACAGACGGACGCGGCCCTGGAGGTGACACTGGCAGCAATGGGCATAGACCCACAAGACCACAACGCCGTTCAGGAGTGGTTGAACAAGCCGGTACAGACCAACAAGGAGATGTTCGACTGCATGAGAGCCTACCACGAGCAAGTCATTCGACCAGAACTCTACTCAATGGTGGTGCAGTTGGAAACAGGGCTCAAAACCCTGAACAATAGCATCTTCCAGGTTCGACGTGAGGTGTCCTGGATGGCCGCGGATAATAGGCTCCTCCAGAAGCATGCGTACGGAGTGCAGCTTCTGACTATTGGATGGCCGCAAGGTTTTTCTCCAGCGCAGCGAGTCTATCAGATCGGCTGGATGCTCCAGAACACGCCGAAGGTAGCAGCGTTCCTGCATGAACGCGGGCAAATCTCCGACCACTACGCCCACGAGCAGCCTCGCTACCTGAACGCGCTCAGCACCGAACCGGTGACGGCTCCAGCTGGAGGAGATTTCTGGAGCACGATGACCTTGCTGACCTACAGTGATGAGCGCGCGCAAGTGAAGGGATACCATATTAAAGTTGCCCCTTGCTCTCCCCAATGGCAACGTAAATTGGAATCCCCACTTCGAGTTTTGTTGGCTTGCGTGAATGCGCATTCCGACCACAACTCTTCCAGGTTGACCATTTTGTGGAAAACCTTAGCCCTCCTAGAGCCGTTGTCTCCTGGAGAAGATTTCAAAGACGACATTGTTGCTTGGGCTCGCCTTTATTATTTTGATGATGATGGTGGGTTCAAGGGTAGGCTCGAAGTCACCAGAGACCTTGAAAAGGTTCTCATGTCGCCACCATCTGAGACCACAACTCTTGAGGACACATTGTGGGCTCAGATGTGGAACAAAGTTCAATGGGGTGCCCAGTATGAACTGGACCAAGCAGAGGCAGCAGCTTTTGCCAAAGCAAGAGCAGAGGCGGGATCAGGCAAAGGCCTGAACCTGGGAAAGGGCAAACGCCATTGGTCCAATGCTGCTGTTCATACAAATTATTATGAGCCATACCCGTTCCCACTGGAATTCATTGTTGTCGACCACATCTACTTTTCCTGGGACGAGATGTGCGACAAATTCAAAGCCCTTGACAAAAAGATCGGGGATTATGGAGTAGGAACTTTGAAAGGTCCACCCCCTGCAAGTGCAGCAGCCACTTTAAGCACGGCAGCTCCTGCTGCAACTGCTGCTCCTTCGACCACATCTCCTGTGCCAGGGCAGAAAGGAGGCAAGGGCGGTGGCAAGAAGGGGGCCTAGGGGTTAGGGCTTAGGGTTTACAGTTTGGGGCTTAGGGTTTGGGGTTGGGGGTATATGAGAAGATATAACTCAGGCGGGATCATATCTTCCCTCACTTCCTTCCACCAGCACCTTAGGTCTCAGCACTTCGAGCTTGGTGTTTGGGGAACCTGGACATCTATCCAGGGCAATCTTAAGCCCCTACCAGAAGCAACACGACGCCACCCTAAGGCAATAACAGGAGGGGAGTTACCATTTAGCACCGTACAGAAACCTTATATACCCCTGATATAACTCCCCATGGCACCCCAGTTCCGACCACAACTCAAGTCAAGTATCTAGGGTCTATGATATCATGGGACAAACCCTTTGAGGTTGCTTTTAGGCATAGAGCTGCGCTTGCAGAGACATCATACAAAAAATTAAGGCTAGTCTGGAATAACCCTCTCGCATATAGACAGAAACTCAACATCTTCCAGTCTGTGTTTATCCCCACACTCATTTACGGCCTGGACTCCCTGACATTACAAGCTAAGCACCTCAAGCGTATCGATGCTTATTATTTACGCTTCCTCAGGAGGATAGTCGGTATAAAGGCTTCTTATTATTCAAGAATCACTAACGTAGAGGTATACAGAAGGGCCGGTAAACCTCGCAAGCCCTCGCAATCCCTGAACAAGCTCCAGCTTAAAACGCTTGGTCAGGTTTTCGGGGCTGACCACAACGACCCTATTCACCATGTAGTCTTCAGTCCAGGGCTAAAGGACCGTATACAGGCTACTGGTAGACGCAGAGGGGGCAAAATTCCTTATTGGGTTGAGACCACAACTCAAAGACATTTTGCGGAACTTTGGCAGCAGTTTAATGCTAGGAATATCTTTGGCCCTAATTTCATTTACACGCAGATATCAAGATCCTTGAGATTCCCAGCGGTAGCGGCGCCAATGCGCGCTAGAGAGCGCGCCCGGCTCTAGCAAAAACCAGGTGTGGCATGCCCCCCACTCGAACCAGCTTGTTGCGTTGCTTCGAACCACGCAAGTGATAAGCTTTACCGCTTCTCACCAGACCCCTCCTCTCACACATGCATGTGTTGAGAACCTTCCAGCCGCGACCTCAACAAACACGAATGCGAGGGTCTGGGTTGTAGGGTGTTCAGGGTGTTAGTGTTAAGTGTTAAGACCTCAGCATTTCGCTGTTATGGTGGTGGGTTCTCGTTTTGAGAAGCTTCCTGCAAAACTCTTCTAAGACGTAGGGGAGCTCAATGCCCAATACTGTCCAGTCGCGGTCCACATCGCAGCGTTGGGTTCAGTCAGAGCTCTTCCTTGAAAAGGTGGAGCTCTCATTCTGCCTCCTACCCATGCGGGAGACTTTCAGAGTCAGCAAGGGGCACAGAATGGAGGTGGCTGCCAAGGATTCTGGAGTTCTCAACAAAGCCAGCCCATGCCAGCCCTCAAGCCGAAGACGCATGCTTGTACGCTTCCATGGATATTGCCACCCTCCACCTTCCCAAGCTGGGCTGGGTAAAACATTGCGTTGGCAATGACAGCGGAGGGCATGTAAGGAAAAGCTACAAATGTGGCCAGCACGTGCTAGCACCCCAATCATATTTGTCAAGCAGCTATGAGCTCTAGTCCATGTTCTGCATTGCAGCCTAAAGCGGCAAAAGACTAGGCTGTAGTCGCGCCTGGAAAGAGGTACCCTCGTAAAACATGAGCAGGTTCGCGCCGGTGTGGAAGACCGGGTCACTCACAACATTCACACGCACTTCTTCAAGGACATTTCTTGGGTTGGCTGTTGGCCTCATCGTTTTGAACCTTGGGACTCTATGTCCTAGAGGAGATGCCAACATCGCGACATCATGTGTTCGCGGTTTTGGAGTTCACTCGGTTGCGAGATTGAATCAGACAGTTGCGCATTATTAGTAGTTGCGTTAATGCACCTGGTGTGACACCTGAAAGCGCCGAGGGCTGGCTTTACATGGCGAGGGCAAGGATACCGTGAGCGCAATTATAGCAGAGACTTTGCCGAAGAACAGATTTTTGGTATGCTGGCGAAGTACGGAGGCGGAATCCGCCGTCCTCGTCTTGTGCCAGAATTGGTTGGGGTCCAGCTTTTGTTGGCTCGGGTCGGCTTGCGAAGACCTAGTGCTGTGCGGAATTGGAACTGGATAAGGACCATTTGGATCAAGTGCAGCAGCCTTTGGAGAAGCCGTAAACAGAGGTTGTCATTTGAAACGGCAGGCAACTACACACTGGCGGAATGGACCGCAGACGACGTGGAAAGAGAGAAGTATGTGTACGCGGGCTGCACCAATCAGGACAAAGCAGGCCAGTCCGAAGTCCCTCAGACCCTCAGCCTTTCTGCTTGAAACACAGCTAGCAGCATCTAGCAGCAGATGCTAGCAGCTAGCAGCTGGCAGCATTTACTACTCTTTCATGGCGAGGCTTGGGCTTGACGCAGCAATATCTCAAGTTTGCACGGGCGCTCGAGCTGATGAGCAAGCACGAAGAGGCAGAAGGTCAGCGCTTTGCCATGGTGGTGAGGACTCCATGGCTACATGCGTGGAGCTACCTTAGAGCTTTAGAGCCTTAAAGCTCAGTGAAGCCGTTCATGCAGGATTCGGCCTGACATCATGTACATCGGCAGTGTGGCCCCGGCTCTCCGATATCGTTGCTTTTCCTGCATCTTACATGGCCTCACAGAATCCTTTCTTCCGGGCTTGCTAGGCCTCTGAATAAGGAATGACATAGGATCTCAGGCCTTCAAGAAGCAACGGCGCCTGTGAACTCCACGGTGCCGTTTGCGCGTGATTCTTACCTGGGACATGCCGTGACGTGAAGTGCTTTCCTGTACGCGTTCTCTCGGAGATCTAGTCTAAGGTGTGGCTCGATTGGTGGTGGAGGTGGTGACGCTCTTTTAATGATGGACAGGGCTGCAGCCACCATTCTAGGCAACGTTTGGCGCTCGCTTCGTGGTTGCCGCTTGGAGGGTGTTGATGTGCCTCATTTGCAACAAGCCTCATGCTTACTGGGATCCCAGCGTGGCTGGAGCGGAAGGTAAAGATTGTGAGGCTAAGCAGCCCCATGCATGTAATTACGCAAAAACGGTCTGCAGACATCAGGATATGCAGTGTCAACAGCTGAGCAGTTCATGTGAAGAATCTTTGCAGCGGCAGCAAGGATCTGCAAGCGTGCTAGACATGTACAAAAAGATCCAACTTAAGTCTTCTTAAATTTCTAGCTCTAGCAAGAATAGCCTCCATCAGGCCTATTCAGAATGGTAGACGGAAGGGTGGAGCAACTCTTCGCAGAACCCAACATGGTTCATCTGGAGTGCCACGGAGGACTGCCAGTCCTGGCCGGCGATCTTCAATGAATGCCTGGCTCGCCCAACTCCACGACAGCTAAGAGATCATGTGAAGGAGCAGTGCGAGCAGCTTGGAGAAGCGGAAAGATAGCATTGGCATTGCTGGGCATGTCCAAGCTACGGCCTACGGCACCAAGGGGATTGGATTTTGGTGGCTTTTTCATGAGGACCCTATGTTAAGCGCCCTGGCAGGGTTTCTGAAGAGGCTGGCAGGAGGAGGGGAAAGGAGAGAGAAAGGAAGGAATGAAGGATGGTGAGGCAACGAATGCAGGAAGCGAGGAAACTCAGAACCTGCAGGCACCCGGCATGCACCCCGCGCAGCCATGCGCGCAGCATCGTGCAGCCATATCGCTGTTGTTCTCATCTTTCAAACATTGCCAGGGTGTGTAGCAGCAGCCTTAGGAAGTACAGGCAACCAATGCCAACCTCTCAGAAGGTTACGCGAAGCCCCACCCTCGCAAGTGCTTCATAGTAGCACAGAAATCATAAATCCATTGTAAAGGTTGGACCCTGCAGGAGGACAGCATCAGGAGAATCATGAGAGGTTGTACTCCACAACTCACCTTAAGCACGTTTTTTTGTGAGACAAAGGCACTGGATTTTTCGGCTTGCAAAAAACCTCTGCAAACCATACAAGGCAACGAAAAGAGAATGAAACATGATCAGGCCGCATGAAGCATTCATACAGCTCATGAGTGAGAAACAGACTCCCAAGGATGCTCATGGTGGGGGCAAGCCTCAAAAGCCGATGCCCTATGCATGCTTGAAGCTGCAACCGTGGTGGGAACTAGGATGGCCGGACGGAGAAACAAAGGTCAAATGCTGGTTCGGCAACAATCGCGTTTGCCCCTCAAAGCACAGCTTCGACTGCGCGCGCATCCGCATCGGCAAAGCCGGAAATGAGGGCAGACGCCAAAGGCAGGCAACGCCGGCAGTGACTGAGGTCGGACTAAACATCAGCAATTGAAGTTTCGTTGGGGTGCCCTGCGAGCTAGCCACGTCTTTCTCTGACCCCAATAAAAGCTGTGGGAAAAGACCAGTTCTCTGCCGGCCCGCTCTGTTTACTACCAAACTATCTTTCTTCATTTCGGTGTCTACAACGGTACTCGCATCATTATCAATATTCCGATGATTGTTGTGTGTAGCTCTATTTCTACGTTGAGGGGGTTATGAGTGAGCATTCTGCTTATGCGTCTGTGTGTGCATGGAGGCAGGGGCTAAGCGTTGGGGCAAGGGTCAGCTGCCCCTTCTCCCACCCCCTTGCCTGCTACCGCCTCTAAGCAGCCACGCCAGGCTTTTGGCACCCTCAAGTACTGAACACTTTTGCTCTCTTTTTTTGTTGCCGCTGCTACCCTTGTTTTCATTACATAAAGCTCAAGACTTTGCAAGAGCGCATCAAAGAGGACGATGGGAGAACCCTAGAAGCATGCAGGATGGCGGGGTGGCCAACTCCAAAAACAAAGAAGCTGTAACGCAGCCTTCTTGGAGTTCTATTTTGGTGCATTTTGCGCAGCAGCGAGCTGCGAGCTTTGAAGATTTCCACTTGTAGCTGTTATATTCTGTTTTCCGTGCCTTGGTTGCTAAGGACAGAGCACTGTCTGCATACCAGACGCAAGTTCAAAAAAATCAGAACATGTACTTGCACATATATACTGTACTTGTCATTTTTTCCGTCCCTGCCTTTCCTTGTGTTTTTTGTGTTTGGGGTGCTGCTAGCAGGCATTCCTGCAAACTTTATCTTGTTTGCTTTGGCTTAGGGGTGTCTCTTTCGTTTGGCTTCTGGGTCTTTCGTTTTTTTTTCAGCTTCCCTTTCTTGCTCTTGAGCTCGTGTTGCGGCCTTAGGGCATTTGCATTTTTTGGTCTTCTTGGCTTTCATGGCCTCTTGCTTGCTCAGCTTGTGGACTTCATGCAGGGTTTCCCGCAGTTTTGTCATCAATTAATGATGATTACATCTTGCTGCAGTATCCTTATCCGTGCCCAGTTTTGACATTCTTGTCTAGCACATTCTTTGTTGCCAAGATCCGGTTTAGTACCACCTTGCTTGCTGGTGTTACTTTCAGCTTGCGTTTCTATTTCATTTTGTCATGGGGATGGTTACTATGCGCAGCACCCGTATCAAAATTATTCATTGGGTGCACCGCTGCTCAAACGTTAAGGAGGTGCTTCGGATTTTGGCCTTTCGGAACGTTCGCGGACTTGCTCATGTTGCCATTGACTGCAATTGAACCCTACATGGCCTCGAGTGTCCTCGCAACTGCAGCATGTCCAATGTGTGCGCTTAAGAGTTTGCGCACCGTTCACCGTGCTATCATTAACAATAATAATCGAATTTGATAAGTCATAGTATTTGCAAAGCTGCCAACACTGTCATTTGCAGTATTTGGAGCCGCCGGACAACAACACAAGGCAACAAAATAGACAACTCTCAATCGGAGGGCCTCTCCCAGCCCTCAACTGGAGACTGAAGCGCGACTCTTGCAGACCGGGGGACGTGTGGCCGTGCTGACTTTCGGAGACTCGGGTCTTTGCTTTTTTTTTCTCCTCCCTTTCCGATCATTTGCAAAGCATATGTATGAATGTATCCCATCTTGTTCAAGCAGGGCTCGCGCTCGGGTCCGTAGGCGAATGGAGGACACAATAGGCCAGCCTGCACCTTTTCAAGCTTATAGTAAGATATGGAACAGCTCGTGAAGAGCGCTAGGACTAGCAGCTAGAGATATGCATCTCAACATGTCTTTTGCTTGCACATGCGCGCGCCAGATGCTAGCTGACTTCCCATCGTCCAAACTGATCAGAAGCTGAGGCATGGCTGGGTTCCGGTCTTCTTACGCCATGGAATTCCGCACCCTGTCTGCAGCACTGCAACGCCGAAGTGCTTCCCGCAGTTGTTGTAGATGTGTGCCCATTGCATCGCTGCAACGTAGGCGCTGATTCACTCCATGTGCATAAGCGCCGTCCACAGAAATGACGACATGCTAAAGATTAGATTTGTCATCCAACTTACGAGAAGTTGCAGTTCAACGATACCATATATCATATGAGGCAGTGCCTTCAGCAGATAATGAGAAATCGCGAGACGGCTGTCAATGTGAGGACGTAGCAAACAGCTTTGGTTGTGACGCTTGGAACTAGCAGTTCCTGGCAAAGTTGGGGTGTGGGGGGATGAGATCAGAACAGCTTGTTCTTGTGGCGCTGCAGAACTCGTCTCGTTTTCAAACGGCTGGAAACCTGCCGAAGGAGGACGGGACAGCAAGAGTTAGTCTGAAAACGGATTGTCCATTCAGGGATTTTCTGTGACAGCGCGGTGGCAGCAGAAGACCTTGCGGTGAAACAACCTAGGAATGCTGATTGCGGCGTCAGCGGTGTGTTTGCAGAAGCTCCTCGGACATGAACGTCACGGATCTTGTGCTCGCACAAGGTTAGGGACAACAGCTGGAAATCGACGCGCTTGTGCAGCCGGTGGATGTGTCGAACAACCCGTTGACGCAAAGAGGCTTGGTTGTGCCACGGGGAGCTATGGCATAGCTACGTGCTGAAGATGCGGTCGTGATCCCGCTTGGTGAAGACGCCCTTGGAGATCTTGGCAGTCGCGCACGACCATCCGCAGACGCTGCAGCAGAACTGGCATAATGGCGGCAGCAGCAGCGGCAGCACCAGCAGCCGGAGCAGCAGAAGAAGCGGCAGAAGCAGCAGCAGACAGCAGCAGAAAAGGCCGCTGTCATCGCGTTGCGCATCACCAAGATTTGAAAAGAGCTGCACGATTCAGCTTTGGTAGCTCAGGTTTGCCGCTTGGCGATGATGCACCATTGTAGCACCACATCATCTGAGCTGTGGATATCATTTGAGCTATGGACTAGCCTAACCCTTGCTGACTTCCATTCAGCAGCTGTCTGACAAATCTTTCGGCTCAGAACTGAAGCCATCAAGAGGTGTTACAACAACATGGCCACAGGGCCAAGCCACAACGCGTAGCCACGTGCTGCAAACCATGAACGTTTCTCAGGCCGGTGGCAAGACACAAACGCGTTGAGATTTCACAACACTTGAGCTGAGTATCCTCATGCAGGCGGTTCGATCGCGCCGAACTTGCCGAGCATTTCAGCGGCGCCCTGTAACGCAGGAGACGGTCGAGGAGCTGCTGTCGCTGGCTTCCCGCGCACCGTCCGGGGGAAATACTCAGCCTTGGCATGTATACGTCCTTCAGTTTGCAATCAAATGCATGCATCGAAGAAGAGGGCAGTTTCCAAACACCTTTCAGAATTTTCTCGTGAGCAAGGGCTGCGGTAAGTAGGACAATCGCTGGCAGATTGGATCTGGTCAGCTATTGCTTGAGCACGTGTTGAGACAGCTAGTTTTTGGCTCTGCTCTGCAGGGTCTTTCAAAGCTTGGCATATACCCGTGAAACGTGAACGGGCTCTTGTAGCGTGGGCAAACCTCTTGTGCAGTGTCTAGCAGAAGTACAGCGGTCTGATCCAAATCTAATTGTTGCCGTTTGCATGGTGCTTTTACACACAAGCATGTTGATTCACAGTTCTGCGGGAATTCCTCTGTGTAAACAGCCACACGGGTTAAGCTGATCAAAGCCACCTGCTGAATGAAGTGAGCTCGTTTCATATAATGTGAAAAGCCTTGCTGGCATCAGGGTAATATCAAGTCAATACTGTCCATATTTCTATGAGCTGCTTGATGTACATTAACTCTGTAACGTGGACTGGTGCATTTAGGGGGTCTTGCCTGGCTCTACTTGTTTGGGCTTTCCGAAGCAGACGTTTGATCTCAACTGGCAACTAGTGACTAGTCATCTTCCAGGTTGTGGCGGGCATGCAGCTAGAAGCTTTGACAGATGCGGCTTTTGTGCACCTTCGTGGCATGGGCAAGCAGAACAGCATTGAGTTGGAGTACAACGTCTACCCTCGCAAAGCTGACATGCCTCCGGACCTGCACAAGGCCAGGTGTGTTTCCCAGTGGCACCGAAACCTACAGCTACTGACAGTCACCAGATTCTGCCAGGTTTATATGAGCCGGCGCATCCAGCTGGCTGAAAGCATGTGGCGATTGCGGGGTATCACCAGAGAAGATGCTGCAGGGCGCTATCGTATGCTCCTGGACAACTACCGCTTTTGGGGCGCGCCTGTGGGCATGATCATTACCGTGGATCGCCACTCTCTGTTGTTGGCAGAAGTCTTTGTCTGTATGGAGGGGCAGTACAGCACAGCGGTTGGTTTTCGTACTGCATGTGCACTGCTAAGGCTGCTAAGGTTGCTGCGACAGGAATGCCTGGGGACATGCAGGTCTACTCCTCCAGAGCATTGCTCTGTTGGCGGTGGAGCGTGGGCTTGCCACAGCACTTTGACATCAGAGTGGGATCTTGGCTTTTCATTTTTTGGGCCTTGTCCCTTAGATGGTGGTCAGGGTCGGTCAGCAGAAGCTTTCGCGCCATAGCGGCAGTGGATTAAAGAGATCACAGCTTGGTAAGTGGGCTAGTGACAAGAGCTCATCACTACGGTTTGGGCAGTGCACCTGGTGATATTTGGAAGTGGTTCCGAAAGTCACAATTGTAATCTCTCCAATTCAGCGCATCCAAACGCAGGCGAGTGGATCCTTTTCCTGTCTGAACAAGAGACCATGTAGCTTTTGTTTTTTCTTTTCCCAGACATGCGGTGCCCAGCACGCAGCACAGTTTAAGGCAATGCTGGAAGCATGGGGAAACCTTGGCAGTTGTGTCTATGATGCGCTCAACATTTCCATGGACAGAGAAGTGGTTTGGTGCCAGACTCAGCCATCCAATCAGGGTGCTAATTTAGCAAGAGGTGGTCAGTTCATAGCCCAAAGATGCAGAACCAGTTTGATGCGGAAAGTGTTCTGCACCACCCTCACTGAATAGCATGGCCCAGCCCAGCGCCAACTGTGCCCAGGTGTGGGGTCGCTCTGGGCTATCCAGATCACTCGGGGGACCTGAGCGGCATTCCTACTGACCGCCTGGACGTGCATGACTTCTGCCGATTTCAGGGCTTTGTCTCTCGTCGCAGTCCTTCAGTGTCCTTCAGCGCAGTCGTGGGGTCATGAGCGTGCAGACTCTTTCGCATTACATTTCATGGAAGGAAGAACCCAATTGCCACCCAGGACCACAAGGCTGCAAGGAAGGTAGGCGAGTTAGGAAGATTTAGGAAGTGAAATGGGGGTGCAATCGAGAATGAAGTGCCTTGGCTCGTGCCCAAACATCTCTCTTGTGCTCAGTTACTCTCGCGTAGGTCTTGTCTCCCATTCTCCCAGGCTTAGGAGTTCACTGATGCTGCTTCATGAACTATTGGTGTTGGGATGTTTTGAAAGCACGCAAAGCACGCAACAAAGGGCCAACCACTTATGTGTCCACGAAAACGTGTCATGTCGGGGCCTAGCTGTGCGGAGAGGCAGCAAGGGATGGCTGCACGGTGACCTGAGTTCATGGGGCACACCCTGCTGTGAACCGCAAGGGAGGTTGATGGAGTGATGCTGTATGGGAAAACGGCTCTAAAAAGGCATAAAGATGCTTCTTCTGTATTTGATTTTGCGCTTCTCACGAGGTGCGAGCTGCGGAGTGTGTGTCTAACTATTGCTTGCAGTGAGGCTTCGGCTTGGTCTTGCCCAAAACGAGTAATCGTTTGAAGTGGAACTTCATTAGCAAAGACGTGCCATTTACTGTATTGTCAATGGAAGGGAGCCTGCACGCCCCTATTGCGCTTACCATCATTCACCTGAGTTGCCTGGACGGAGCCCTTCCAACGTCATGTTGGCCAAGCAGCATGAAGATTAGCAAGCGTGTGTTGTGGCTGTTCCAGAATGTTGTGAGTTTGTTTTCTGTGGCTCCTGGACATTCTGAGATTGTGGAACACCGCTTCTTCCAGAGGGGCTTCAATTGCAGGTTGCTTTTGTGTCTCGTAGCTGAGGTCAGAACTTCAAAGTTGTGATCATGCAGAAGAAAAAGGGCCGGCATGCAGCTCACTTTGGTGTCAGAGCGCCCTGCGGACTAGGTGCATAGCGCTTAATAGCCACAACATGTTCTTCTGAAGCTCAAAACAGGCATGACAGCCACAGCTGCTACTAAATCTCCGCAAAGCCGAAGACGCCAACATTCCATGAAAGCACGCACAGAAGGCCAGCCTCGATCCACAGGCAAACCTTTTCTAGTCGCGAACTTGTCATGGCAGAGCCGCCAGAAGAGGCAAACTTTCAAGACCGTGAAGCTGGACGGGCTCGCTGAAGTTGTGGCAACTTTTTCGCGCAGGTGGTCGACTTCGTTTTGGATGCGCGCTATGGGGAAGAAGAGGCTGTTCAAGATGCCATCGCCGCAGGAGTGCAGGCACAATGGTTTAGCCATGGAAACCGAACAGTTTCCGCTAAGATTTGACATGCCGACCCGCTGGGCATGCCACCTTTTCATGTTGTTCAGGTAAATGCTCGTAGCCATGGTGGGTCCACTGCGCTTTTCATGGCTAGCGCAAACGGGAACGTCGGCATCGTACGTGCGCTGGCGATTGAAGTTTGCAGATGTTCACTTGCTGATGGTCCACCCCCAGCTGCCTTGTCTTACAACTGCTAGACTGCTAGACATTGCTAGACAGTTTCTTGGCAGCCTTTTCGGCAAATGCATCCGCCTGCATGGCATGGGAAACTGAAGGCAAGCTGCTAGACGCGCGTGCATCAACAGATTTGGCAAACGATGCTGGTAACTGCCCGCTGCACTGGGTGAGAGCCAAAGATCACAGACGTACAGCATGGTGCCTAGCTAAGTGTGCATGTGCCTCGGCTGGCTTGCAGGCTTCGCTAAATGGCCATGTGGAGGTGGTAAAGATGCTTATTGCAGCACGTGCAAATGCGAATCTGAAAAATGATTTTCAGAAGAGGCGCGGGCTGGACCCAGTCCTGTAATTGTGTGAACACGATCAGCCGTGCCAGGCCATTCGACGAAGCCCTTAGCAGGAGCGGACATTGTAAATTTTCTGGAAATGGTGGACGTGTCATTGTGTGTTTGCGCTGATCGCAGAATGGAGGAGCCATTCCGAAATTTGTGAGACTCTTGCAGCCGTCACGTCCTTTGAAGACGATATACCTGCAGATGCGGAGGCTGCCGAGGCGATGGCCTTTCCCTGTCAACGGATTTGCATTCTGTAAGCCAATCCGTGTGCAACAGTTACTACTTTTTTGGTTGTAGCATTCCAGCCAATTTCGTTGAAGTCCCCTTTCGGATGTTTCGACCCCTTTCCTAGCCGTGGCCAGTTGTTCTGTCACAAGCATTGCTATTCCCCTTCCGTCTTTTCGGTCTCAGCCACCAGCAGCCAAGTCAGCCAGCTAGCGGGCCAGGAAGCAAGCAAAAGCCCCCTGGCGTAAGAGTGCTGACGGTTGTCAAGCTCAACTAAGGTACTGTACATCTTGCGCCCAAAATCCTTACATTGGACCTCACCTGAGCATGCTAAGGAGGAAAGGGTAGGAAAGGACCCCATCAAGGCGTCTCGCGCAGCTGCAACACGAATTCACTGTGCAACTGATCGCAAGGCAAGAACGCCTTCTGTGAGGCAACACCCAGACAAATGGTCATACAGCTAAGTCAAGCAAGGGGGCCAGCTACAGTTAGAAGGATTTGATCGATTCCGCAGCTATGCATGCTGTGGTGCCCGCCAAGGCAACAGCACAGCCCTGCTGCTCCACCGCCAAACATGTACCCCGTGACCTGCAGCCCACCTGCAGGTTGCGCAGCACCAACTTCTGCCCATCGGACCCCGATCCCCCGGAAGCAGAAACCCTGCCCGAACTCACCCTCACAAGCATGGAAGCCTGCTCTACCTGGAGAGTGGGCGATACGCCCATTAGAGCATCACACGAACATCAAAGGCCCCACTGTTTTGGGTTGATCTGAAATGAGGAGCAGCCCATGGCAGTTACGTTTCAAGATTTTGGCTCTTGTGATTATTCCGTGCCACTAGCGTCGCATCAAGACTCCAAGTCTTACTTGAAACCGTCATTTCTTGTGGCTGCGCTGTGTGGCCATAGGCTGCGGATGTCCAAGAGGGAAGCCAGGAGGTCACCTCGGAAAAGGGCTCCATGGCCCAGTCCCAAGCCGTTGCTGCATGCCAGCATGAGACGTGAAATTGGAAAACCTGAGCCAGGCATGCCCCTCAATTGTGGGGATGGGAAATCCTCTCTTGGACATCTCGGCCGATGTTTCTGAGGATGCCTTCAGCTGTGAGATCTGTGAGTGAACATTCCACGGAAGCATTGCTATAGCCTGTTTTAGCCTGTGACTCATGAGGAGACCTTCGCCAAGTACGGTCTGCTTCGTGGTAATGCCATCCTTGCAGAGGCTAAACACGACCAGTTGTTCGAGGAGCTCGCTTCCCTGCCAAATGCCTCGTGTCCCGATTCAGGCTTCCAGGTATAGTGCAGACGCTGCCAACATGTTGCAGATTGCAAGGTCAGGTTTGTCGCTGGTGGGTCGACACTGAACTCCATTCGGGTTGCGCAGTGGCTTCTGCAGGCCATGGCTAGCCCCCAACTATCAGCACGCAGATAAACGGCTGCCGCCGCATCAGATCCAAATGGTGTGATGTCGTTTGACATATCGGGATTGGTTTGGCAGGAGCCTGGCGCAACAGGCTACATGGGGTGCGTGGGAGCAGATGGCTTTGGTGAACGGCTGGCCCGAGAATGCGAAGCAGCCGGAGTGACTACGAGGCGAGTGAAATCTGAGACCTGAACTTCGTGAATAGGGGCTGGCCATGCTCCAACAATTAAAATGAGCTTGCTTGAAGGCTCCTTGTGGACCGGGAGGCTGCCACAGGCACGTGTGCAGTCACAATCTTGGATGGAGAACGGTCACTGACAACACGGCTCGGTGCTGCGAACATGTACAAGCTGGATCATGCCAAACAACCAGAGAGCACCTGAGGCACTTAGTTCTTGCAAATCAAGGCCAAGCTGCGTTACCCATGTAATCACAGCACACATGATCTGTGGCTGTGTAGCAGCAAGATTTCAGCCAGTTTCCATGGATAGAAATATAGTGAAATCAAGACTGAACTTTGTTGGCTTGATTGGCATGTTCTTGACATGCTGCAAAAAACCAATCTGAGCAAAGCTGTGCTACTAGAGGCCAGACAGCACCTTTTTGGCTACCCAGCTACACACTACCTGCAGCACCGTTCCAGATTGATGTTTTGTCTGTCTGACACACGCTGCCACATCCACACCCACAAGCAACCAAACGGCTATGGCTCGCTGAGGAATTTCCGAAAGCCCAGGTTTGACTAGGGTCAAGGCAAAGTTTGCCGCTGTTCGTTCCCGCAAACACCCAATGTTCTTCAGACAGTCCGTTCATGAACACCTGGGTTTTGACCAAGGAACTTTACATTGTTGAGGTCTGCAAAGATTGCCCCTTGGTAAATAGGGATTTGGATGCAACGCTCTTGGACTTGGCAGTGGTAAGGGCAGAAACCTTACCAGTGCTAAGCTTTGAGATCTACAGCGCGGGCTTCTTCATCACCGTGTCGCCAGAATCTATTGATTTGGCATCCAGAGCAGATTGGCCGACAGTATTCCACTTAGCAAACCTGCATGCTTAGCTTTGTGGGACGGAATGTCAAGGTCGCCGAGATGTCGGGGGCAATCTATTGTCTCAACCTCTCTGCCACGTTTGTCGTCCAAGTCCCTGCCTATCGTGCCATGTTGGAAAAGACGCTGCCGTACTGTGACTTTCTCTTTGGAAACGAAACAGCTGCCAAGCTCATGTGATTGGTATGCCGATCTTCTTTTATGGTGTTTCACTTGACATATGCTCGACATACATCGGCTGTGGTAAAGATGCTGAAGCGAGTCATGCACACTGCCGAGTGCCGTCAGGAAGCGAGAGCCTATGCAGAAGCAGCTGGCTGGGACTCTTCTGACATTGGCTTCATTGCCACCAGATTGTGCCGCGCTTGGCCAAAGTTTGTGCGTGACATGGTCTCCCAAGCTCGAGCCTTTGCCCTTCTCTGCAGGTCTTTAGTCCCGATGGCTGGCAAGAAGCCGCACCGGAAGATTGTGATCACGCAAGGCGACTCGCTTTCAAAGCTGGCACGGGAGAACTTTTCATAAATGTTAGCTCCCTGCTCTCAACTCAAAAGAATACAATAGAAGTTGTTCTTGTCCACGAAGCTAAGCCGTCGAAATTACGATTCGGTCAGTAGACAGGAGGCTTAGCAGATGAGCCTTCAGATAATTGTAGCTGCTTGACTTGCAGAGCTGCATGCTCTTCTTCAGTGCAGGAGCTGAACCGATTGTGGTTGCTGAGCGGGGCCATGTGACGCTGTATCCAGTCCCGCAACTGCCGTCAGAAAGGACTCTTGCCGACAAGTACTGTATATGCACAGGCTTCAACTACTTGGCAGCGCATTGGTCGGGACGCAGGGTCACCCTCTTTTTCTGCTTTCTTGGGCAAGTGGGTTTGACGGCGCTTCAGATCCTGCACCATTCAGTACATTTTGGTTTTGTGGTGATTGCGATGATGGCGCAGAGGATCGTGGACACAAATGGGGCTGGCGATGCATTTGTCGGTGGTTTCTTGGCAGCACTCCTTCGAGGGCGGAAGCTGGCTGACTGCTGCCAGGCGGGGCCTGTTTACTGTTCACAAGGGCCTGACAAGCTCACTGCTGCCTATGCTGCTTTTTCCTGCAGGCTGGCTCCTGTGCCGCTGTCACCGTGATCCAGCACTCTGGGTGCACTTTCCCACGCGAACCCTCATGCACACCATGAAGCAGCAAGCGGGTGCAAAAGGGCAGAAGTTCGTCCTAGCTTCTATGTTGCATGTCTTGACATGGTGGCCACAAGCGAATGTTGGCCAAATCAGCCTTCATTTGCCTAAATTGCAGAATGGTTGGCTCGAGGGACCGCCCGCTTGCAGTCCATACTGGCACATGCAAAACCAAAGTGTCCACTGCACTACAGCCTAGCTCAGAAGATGTTTCAAAAGCTGCCGAGTGAAAACGAGCAGTAAACCAAACGTATTTTCCAACCAAGTGATGTAGTGAACGTAGTGCTGGAAAATGCGTGGCAGATCAGTGGTGCACTCAGATGGAAGCGACTTGTCGCAAGATGAGGACACGCAGTGGTTGGCATTGTTCTGTTGAGTCCGATTCCAGGCTCCGATTCGCTTTTATTGCCTCTGCTCTCGACAGGACAGCGCGTCCTCTGTTGAGATTGGGATTGGTCGAGGGTATGGAGGTGCGTATTGTGCAGAGTGGACGTCAGCTGTGCTTCGAGATAACCATGCTGAGCGGGAACACGCAAATTCTTCATGTTGTGTGTTTGATGGACTCGACAGGAAATCCACAAATCGAGTTGTTTTCCAAGGGATTGCTGTCCAATCATGGTAATGTTAAGCTCACCTTGCCGCTGTACTTGCACCGCTGTTGGAATCCAGGATATCGTATGAAGTCCTTTCCTTGCAAACGACTCTTTATAGAGCGATCTCTAGGGCTACATGTTCCCCATCATGCCCGCCATGGCCCAGTTTCGGTGCCCCTCAAAATTGCCAGGGCCAGCGATGACCTCAACCAAGAGGCAGGGTTGGCAGCATGTTTTTCCCGAATGCGCAGCAGAAGGGTTCTCGTCTTGAGGTTGG